AATAAAAAAAATCATGTTATTTCTTAAAGGATCCATTTTCTCTATTATAATACCTAATAAACACTATTTGATGATTCTTTTCAAGGAAAGGAAAAGGAAAAGGGAAAGGGAAAGGAAAAGAAAAAGGTAAATCATCCTTAAGTCTTGGATAGGAAGAAGCATTTCTCAAAAAATTGAGGGAAAAGAATCAACTGAAGAGTAAACATCTTTAGTAAATCTTTTAGTCATATGTATATCATTAATACTCTTAAAAACTAGGTTTGTAAATTTCCTGTACCTTTTTAATATTCCTTTGAAATTCCTTATGGCGCACAGGTAACGTATAGAAGAGCTGCTGCACACTGACTGTCGTCCCCCTGGGTCGTGGGTAGGGGGTTTTTTGGATGATTTTCCCATTGTGATCAAACACCAGTCGAGTCCCAACTTTTGCAGATTTGTGACAGGTAGAAATACTTACATCACTGTAAGAAAATGCGAGGCATGGTATGTTCAGTTAGAGACACACAAATCCTATACAGTAAATACTCTTTTTCTCACTTTCCTTTCTCTCAAAATTTTCTTTAAAAAGATGATGATCTCACTGAGGTAATCAAGAAGATTTAAACGGGTGAGAAGTCATCATAAAACCTAAGGCTTGCACCTAAAAGACAATGACACAAAAAGTTCTATAAATACTTTGTTTTGTTTTGATAAAAGCTTTGATTTAGTTTCTTAGGTTGAACTACAAAACAATAAAGGAGCTCAAAATTTATTTATCACAAAAAGATTTATCAGTTTTGCTACTACCATTTTAACGAAACTTTTAGAAGAATACAAAAGATGTAATAATTCAAATGTGTAACTAATTATTTATAAAAATTAGAATCTGTGCTATAATTAAATAAGTGCTTTGGTTAAATTTTTTCCTAAAAATTGAAAATAAATTAAGACCAATGGTATTAGCCAAGCACAGTGGCTCACACCTGTAATCCTAGCACTCTAAGAGGCTGAGGAGTGAGGATTGCTTGAGGCCAGGAGTTCAAGACCAGCCTGAGCAAGAGCAAGTCCTTGTCTCTACTAAAAATAGAAAAATTAGCTGGGCATCATGTCTGTGCCTATAGTCCCAGCTACTTGGGAGGCTGAGGCATGAGGGTCACTTAAGCCCAGGAGTTTGAGGTTGCAGTGACGATGTCACTGCACTCTACCCAGGGCGACAGAGTGAGATTCTGTCACACACAAAAAATAAAATAAAATGGTATCTATAATTTATTATTTATATATTATAATTGAGAAATTATTGATTTAATAAGGGTAACAATTTTTTTACAATACTATTTGCTTCATTTCATTCATTTATTGCTCAAATTTCAGAAGTATTATCACTTAGATTGGTAGTTAGATAAAACAAGACAGAAGTTGAGTATAAATAATAATGTATTTATAATAAAGTATAAATAATAATGATTCTAATTATACTTTTCAATTTTTTATAAGGGGTCAAGTTAATGGATAAAAATATTGTATCACCTCAGTGCACAAAGTGAGCTCAGTGCTTCCCCCCGAAAGCCAAAAGTTTCAACCTGAGTTAGGTCAGCAAACTCTTGAATCTTAGAAGTGTGATGTTTCAGAGCTGAAAGAGAGTGTAAAGTAAAGCCCAAAATATCTCAAGTGACACAGCAATAAATACACACAATACCTACCAAAGTGATTGTTTTTAAAAAACTGTCTTTCTGTTTCCTAAAACAATATTACTCAAAACTCTGAGACATGTGGCCCAACTATCTTATAATAGGATTAGAAAAACTCAACTTACTTAACCCTTCAAAGTTTTCTTCTTCTACCCCGCATCCATTGTCTGAAACTTCAATGAGATCCACTCCATAGTCTTTAAGCCTTAGATCTAAAAAATGTAATACATTTATGTATTTCTCAAAGACTGGTCCATGCTAAAAGCTATTATATTGACATTATATGTAACATATAATGCAAATCTAAAAGCCATAACTACACTTCTAGTTAAATGTACTATTGTCATTTTTTATATTTTGAAGTCCTTTTTGGATATTTACCAGCCCAGATGAAACAGTTTTGTTTTTTCTTTCTTTAGAAAGGAATAATTTTAACACAGTCATTAACAAGAACAGCCTCTGGAATCAGACATTCTGGATCATATTTTACTAGTTTTATAACCTAAAAAAAAGTAAATTCCCTGTCCTTTAATTTCCTCATCTGTAAAATGGAGATAATAACAACTCCTGTTTCATAAAGTTATTCTGCAGATTAAATGAGATATTCCATGTATAATTCTTAGCATAATATCTGCTAAGAACAGTAAGAACACAATAGAAATTAGCTGCTATTATTACTACTACTATTTAAATAGTAGGCACCAAATTTAATAACTCATTGGTATATCAACACTTGATTATCTTATTGTAGTAACAAGTGTTTCTTGAATTAAATAACATAACTGATTATTTCTTGTGGTGTTAAACTCTTCCAAACTTACCAATATTAGTGGCACCAGCATCCACACTATTCTCTACCAACTCCTTCACAGCAGTGCTTAGACTGAGAACCACTTGCCCAGAACAAATTTGATGGACTGACTTCCGATCAATAGGTTTGATGGCCTTAGCAAGTTCTGTACTAAAGAAATCAGTTACAAGACACAAAGCAAGTACTCAGTTATGCATTTTCATCCTGATTTTGAATGTGGGAAATGACTCATCACTGTTAATAACTTGTGACTTTAATCTACTCATTTATTATATTAACATATTTCTTTATTATTCATAAATATAAACATTGTTTTACAATCCTTAAATATCTGTCAAAATACTTCTGAATACATACTTCAAATTCAATAGATACTTAAAATCTAGTTATACTGGCACCTACATGGAGACACATTGTATCCCTCAAGCTACCATAATCTTTTGCAACAATAGGATCGTCTTTCTAGTGAGAGCAACATTTCTTGTAAATTTGAAAAACCAAGAGTATGCTGGGAAATAGTGTTTATGTCAAAATCATCTCGGAAACTGGGTACCAGCTGTACAATAACTTTTCCCATACATATTAATAGTTGCCTTGGAAACCCCTCTCCAAATCGCAGGTGCCAGCTGCTGCTTTAGTTAAAAGTCCTCAAAGTTCTTGCTGTACCAGCTTTAAGAATTTTACAACTGTTTTATCTCCACTTTCTCCCTACTCCAATCTATCCTCCATGCTACCACCAGAGTTATTTTTGAAATCACAAATCTGGTTTAATAATTCTTCTGCCTAAAAATTTACTAGTGCCCCACTGCCTACTATATGAAGTTTAAATCTAGTTAAAATTGGGTACCAATCTACCCCCATTTACTCATTCTCTCTAATCATTTTCCCTTCACCAATCCTTTTCGCTTTCCTCCACATTTTAGTCACAGGAACAACTGTTTCCTGAATATCACAAGCTCTTTTAGACACTGAGTTGTGTCTCAGCAGGTCTCTGTGTAAACTGCTCTCTTCTTCCTCATCTGCCTGGCCAATTCCGTATGTTCAATAATCCAAAAATTTCTAGTAAACGGTTTAATTGATAACCAGGGTATAATAGAATGCAAGAACTTCCCTGGAAGAGAAATCTTTGGATATTTCCCACAGCATCTAACGCATAGTAGAACTTGCATCAACCCTTGTGAAATAAAGGAGCAACCATTTTTACTCTTCATTCTACCTTGCAATGAATCTCACTTAAGTTTGTCTATAACGTGAAACTGCAGATGACCTCACATAAAATGGATAGTATCTCTAAAAATGTGTGTATGTGGCAACACACCGTGGCCTCCAGGTCCACTTCTGATATTTATTTTGAGGAGGGGGATGCGACAACCTTTAAATATAGGCAGCACATCTGCGTTTACGAATCTGACTTTGAACGCAACAGTGCAGGCCGAAGATTCACTACCCCGAGGACAGGAGCTTACCGGCCAAAAATCACATACTCGAGCAGATATATAAGCACTGCATTTTAAAAACCGTTCAGCTATGCAAATTAGCATGTGCCGTGAAGCTCCCTCCTTCCCAAAATAACCTCAGTTTTTTAAAACAGAGAGAGAGAAACCAGGTAAAACGGAAATGAATTCAGTCTACGGGTATTTCATACTTCGGGTTCAAGTCCACGGCCTTGTGTTGGCGTCTGGGCAGGGCCTGCCTGGGAGCGGGCCTAATCCAATACCTCAAAGTGCCGAATCCCGCCGCCAGCCCAGGACGCGGAGAGGGGATCGACCCCAGCCTCAAAGCGCACCCAAAGGGCACGGGTCAGTGGAGCGCTGCGGCCGCCGCTCCGGGGACTCTACGCCGCAGGCTCGCCACGCGCCTCGACCACTTTCCCCTACTTTCCAGGGGGTGGAACGCTGAAGGCCTTACAAAGGGCGACCGTTAGGATAGACCTCAAGCCCAGCTCACCTCGAGCCCTCAGCTCGCTCCATGGACGCAGAACCTGACCTGCCTCAGAGATTGCTTGAGAGCTCCGCGAGGGGCTCCCACCGGGCCCCGCCTCCCTGCTGCCCATTGGCTGCTTTCGACACTATGTCCCGCCCCTTCCGTGCGCGGCGGCAAATACTTCCCATATCTCCGTCTCGCTTATTGGCTCTGTCAAAAGTCGAGTCCGTGACGTACAGAGAGCCCAGGCCAATTAGAGTACACGGACTGCGTTTTCCCAAACGCCCGCAGCAGGGTCAGTAAGGAGGTGGCCGTAATCTGTCGCGGCCTTGGACGGTTTCTGAGCTTTCGTGTCCATCAGGCAACACCTTCTTTTCCTTTGGTTCCGCAATGCCGATGTACCAGGTAAAGCCCTATCACGGGGGCAGCGCGCCCCTCCGTGTAGAGCTTCCCACCTGCATGTACCGGCTCCCCAACGTGCACGGCAGAACCGGCGGCGGCACGCCCGACTCGGGCCATGTGCAGGTAGGAGCGCGCGGCCCCCGTCCAGTGCGCAGGCGCGATGGCCGGCTGGTGGCCCGGTCCCACTGGGCCCGGGCGAGCATTTATCACCTGGTTCGGGGGCGGCCGCCAGTCCCACCCGGGCCTCTGTGCTGGCCGGCCAACGAGTCATACTAACTTTTCTCAATTAAAATATCTTTTCTCTTTTCTTTTTTCCCCATGTGGCCACTTAAACTTTTTTATTAGCAAATTTTATCCTCGAAAAGCGAACAGCACATAAATGCTCGCTTTGAGGAATCATAGAGCGAACCCCAGGATCACCACCACCCAGGTTGACACACGTTGTCACCGCCCCACTCTTCTCGCTTATAACTTTCCCCCAAAGGTCCTGACTGTTATGGTAATTATGTCCTGCTTTTTAAATTATTTTCTCAACTAAATATGCAGCCCTAGAACAACATAGTCTTGATAAAAGTGGAAGCATGCGGTATGTGTTCTGTTGTGTCTGGCTTCTTTTTTGAAGACATGATTTTAAGAGTCATTTTGTTGAGAGTAACAATGTTCATCTTCTCTGTAATATACTGTTCCATTGCATGACTCTACCACCTTTACTTATCCATCCTATGCTCATAGACACCGGGTAGTTTGCCCTTTTCTGCTGTTATGAATTATTCTGTAATGAGTATTATACTAGAGCAGACATAGGGTATATACTAAGGAATGAGATTGCTGGCTCAGTGAGCAGGTCTGTCTTCCACTTTACTAGATAAATTATTTTCCAAAGTGGTTATACTGGTTTCTCCTCTCACCAGCAGTGTGTATAATTCCTGATGTTTGCACCCTTCCCAAAGCTGGTGTGTGTAAAGTGGTATCCTAATGTAGTTTCAGTAAGTTGAAGACCTTTCTTTTCGTATTTACTGGCCATCTTGATTGGTCATTTGTAGCTTACCTGCTCAAGTCTTTCACTGTTTTATCGACTGCAAATATACATCTTAGGTTTCCACCAGTAGAAAGGTCTGTCCATTCTGACAGAAGATGAGTGATTAGATAACTTTTGAGATCTGTTTTCCCACTGCCTGTTATACTTGACTTTGCCTATTAAACTATTAGACTTTCTGCCTACATTGGAAAAAAGGGAGGAAGGTTAGTGTGAAACCAAATGACAGTTGTTATTATCTCACTGCAGAAGTAAGACAAAAATAGCAGTCATTGTTAAATGGTCCCTTCAACTACGGACTGCTGTGGAGACTTGGCCCAGTGCCTCTGTCAACTGCTCAGTACCATGGAACCAAAAAGAAACCCAGAATGGAGAATGTCACTTCTCATTTAAGATCTAGTTTTGGTTTTGTTTTGTTTGTTATAAGTCTGTTGCCTCACTTCCTTTGAGCTTTTGTATGTGAACTTTTAACTTAGAAAACACACAATCCAGGCCAGGCGCAGTGGCTCACGCCTGTAATCCTAGCACTCTGGGAGGCCGAGGCTGGGCGGATTGCTCGAGGTCAGGAGTTCCAAACGAACAGCCTGAGCAAGAGCGAGACCCCGTCTCTACTATAAATAGAAAGAAATTAATTGGCCAACTAATATATAGAGGAAAAAATTAGCCGGGCATTGTGGTGCATGCCTGTAGTCCCAGCTACTTGGCAGGCTGAGGCATGAGGATTGCTTGAGCCCGGGAGTTTGAGGTTGCTGTGAGCTAGGCTGACGCCACGGCACTCACTCTACCCTGGGCAACAAAGTGAGACTCTGTCTCAAAAAAAAAAACAACACACAATCCCACTCCTCTAGCAATTTCTCTAGCAAAGAATAACAATGTGGATAGACAAATAATTAGAAATCAGACATATCCAGGGTATATGACAGCAACACAAATAATAAGCTATTTCTAAATACATGTAAATTAAAACAAATGGATAAACACAATATACCAAGTCCCAATCTAGTCTCAGCAAGGAAAACAACAGGCTAATGAAGTAGAGCAGATCTTGAGCATTTTGGTGTTACCCAGATGACAAGGGGCCACACTCAGGGCTCATAAATCACAGGCCATGTTGCATATGCAGTACTTCAGACATTCTTCAGTGTTGACTGAGTTTTGAATCTGGCAGGTGCCTTTTTGGGCCTAGTGGGGCAGGCACCGTACTGCCATTTGTAGAAATGAGCAAGATTGTGCACAAACAATGCACAAATACAGGTTGGTTAAAAGATGGGAAATATTCCTCAGGAGGGATGTCATTGAATATTACACAGGTAGTAGCCCTATCTGTCACACATCTTGCATTGACTTCTTTCCAGTTGGCACCTAATTATTTCATTGGCATAGTGAACTCTATTCTTCCTTGTTCCACCCAGAAGTCAGTGAACATACAGTTCTTTACTGTTTGATCTTAAGCAAGAGCAGCAGACTAGAAGAGTTGAGAAAGTGATGATTACGCTTTAGTGTAAATAGGAGTTAACCAGACATGAGAAGAGGGAAGAATATTGCAGAGGGAATAGCACATGCAAAAGTCCTTTGGTAGGCGGGAGTGTGGTATTTTTAGAAATTCACAAGATAGTGTGGCTAGAGCGCAGAGCAAGGGGAGGCAATTATGTGAGGTGAGGCAGCCAGGGGCCAAATCATATAAGAGATTAAGCCATGTTAAGGGTTAACTTATTATCCTAACAGCTTAAGAGGTTAGCAAAGGCTGGGGGAGGGGCAGGGGTGATCACAGATTTGAGTTTGTTTTTTAAACTCTCTGTAGCTGCCATCTTATGAGATGGATTGGAGGGATGGACCAGAATGGATGCAGGGTGACCAGTTAGAAAATAGGCCATGTGAAAAATGGTGGCTTGACCTTGGGCAGTGACAGTTGGAAGCATGCTTAGAAGCAGTGGACTCCAAATATATTTGGGAGGTAAAACTAACAAACACTACCTGATGATAAATTGGATATGTGAGAGAGGGAGGTATGAGTGAATAGTTGAGGAACAGATGTTCTAGACATAAGTTCAATGTTCCACACACAAATGTGAGTAAGTACCCCTCTGCACTCCCATGAGTATCATGAGTGTACACTTACAATAAACTCGTTGAGGTCACTGCCTATTGTCATGAGCATTTTCCACATCCTTAGTGTATTCATTGTGCTCTCCTGTGAGCTCATGAATCTGGTTGTACAATGTGACTTTATTGGGAAGTTTCTTGTTATTGATACACATACATATATACTTTGAGTTGCCATTTTAGGCTTATTATTGCCTTTTAAAGTATTGCCTTTGTCTCACTTTTAAAGTAAGTCTATGGAGTTTGAGATTTATTCATCAGCAAATATTGATTCTTTACTGTGTACGAGACACTACACTAAGCAAGAAGGATGCACAGATTCAGTGAATAAATAATGTAAGTTTTCTCTATTCATGAAATTATACATTTTAGCAGTGAAAAAGTTCTAGATGATTATGAGATATGAGTGTCAGTATTGCCTTGAAAATGACTTGAAGAATTGATCATTTGACCCCATGGACATGCTTCCAAGTCAAATAAAACTTTTTTTAAACCTATCTGTGCTCCCTTTTCCCCTTCTATTTGTATAAATTACTGAGTTATATCCTTATCCCCTCATCTTCACTACTCGTTCAAGCAAAGTATTTTGAATTAGTTTGTTATTAAGAATAAGGGACAATTTGTGTTCATTTTCTACTCTTCCCTTTTCCTAGACTAAATTACCTGAAATAGGAATCATACAGTTTCAAAGTGGCTTTCAGTCACAACGGTTTTTGTTTGTTTGTTTGTTTGTTTTAAAGCATTTGTGGATGGATTTGCAGGGACCTATTGAACAATGGGGAAAATAAGGTGATTCTGCTACTTTAATGTCTTTTAAAGCGTGGGAGGTTTGGTGAGTGCATAGAACAAAGACAAGTGATCAGATTTAAACAGACTGCTTTGATGTGAGAGGAAATGAACACTTGGATGTTGGTTTGTTTAGGAAGAGTCTGACCCATCTCTGCAAGCTCTTGAGTCCCGCCAAGATGATATTTTAAAGCGTTTATATGAGTTGAAAGCTGCAGTTGATGGTCTCTCCAAGATGATTCAAACACCAGATGCAGACTTGGATGTAACAAACATAATCCAAGCAGATGAGCCCACTGCTTTAACACCCAATGCACTGGACTTGAATTCAGTGCTTGGAAAGGTAAGTTTATTTTGAAAGCTGAGAAATGTCAGCTTTCTGTTTTTCAGAGGTGGAGCAAAGAGCATGTTCTTTTTTCTCTTCTAAATGATTGTGCCTTTGCACACAACAGATTCATAAGGTGTGAGTGAAGCCAAAGCAAGCTCTAAAGCCTCCTCTTGACTTCTTAAGCTAAGTGGAGAACAGGGAGGGTCTATCTGTAGGCAGAGAAAGGAGTCAAGAAGAGTTACAGCCTCTGCCATTCTGGGCATGGTTCCAGCGGCCCCTGAGCCTGGAGCAGCAGAGCTCAGCTTGGGTAATCAGTGCTGCTCAGATTCTTTAGCAGAAGCAACCTTCATCTTTTTGAGAATAGCCCAACTTTCAGAACCTTGGCTGCCCAAGCACCCGAAGTCCCACTAATCCTTTTTATAATCCTAATATATTGCTACAGTCAGCCACAGTCTCATATTTCAAATGCATTTTGCTTAAATTCAGTTTGCTGTAAGTTGCATCAGCCAGCTGTCATGGATTGAAGTTTATAGACTTGAGAGTTCAGAAGGGTTTGTGGCAAGAATCCCTACTAACACTCCCCTCAAGAATGGGTGATAAAATGGTTCCAGAGACCTAAAAAGTGGAAACAATGTTTCAGTATCTCACTCAGGGGTCAGTTTTTGGTAATCTATACCTCTGCATTTGCGTATTCCTTCCCCTGCTCTTGCATTCATTCAGTACTTGTTTGCATGCACTGAGGACTCCGGTGAGACCCAAGCAGGCCTCCAAGGAACCAGAATAAACCGGATGGGTTGGTGAGCACACAACAGTGACAGGATTTCTCAGGGTGCTGGGAAGGCTTCTCAGAGCACATAGTGCTGAAGATGAAATGTGATGCTTCAGAAGGCCCAGTCATGTAATACAATATGTTCAGGAAACTGCAAAGCACTCAGCATAGCTTGATGTGTAGGACATTCGGAGTGGCAGGCTTGGAAAGGCTAGGAATTTGGCTGCGATTGTTTACATAAGTTGCATTTATTATTAAGAGTGACAGTATAGAAATAAAGTCTTCGTCTAAAAAGCTTATCAGTTTTGGCACTTTAGTTAACACTTTGTGTTTTAGAATTTCCCCACTGTACCTATTGATGTAGAAACTATATCCTGTCAGGTGGTCAGGTGTTAAAAAGAATTGGTAGCTGGAATAATTGCATGTGTGATTTTTTTAACATAGTTTTATCTCAAGATAAAAGTGACAAATAGAAGTGTCATTCGATATGTTGTTTTATTAATTTGACAGTAATGTCAACTTTTTATTTGTAGGAATCCAGCAGTGTAGGAGCTAAGGGGGAGGGGTCAGCTCATATCCCAGCTCCATATCTTACTGAGTGAAGTGACCTTGGATAAGTTACTTTTCTCAGCTGTAAAGTGGAGATGTCATAGTACCTTCTTCATAGGAGTAGGTGATTCAGTAGACTAGCAGCCCCTGGTACAGTTATGCACACTCAGATTGCCTTTATTTGCTACATTGTTTTGATTTTTCTCCAGGATTATGGGGCACTGAAAGACATTGTGATCAATGCAAACCCAGCCTCCCCTCCGCTTTCCCTGCTCGTGCTGCACAGGCTGCTCTGTGACCACTACAGGGTCCTGTCCACTGTGCACACGCATTCATCAGTCAAGAGCGTGCCTGAAAACCTTCTGAAATGCTTTGGAGAACAGACTAGAAAACAGCCCCGTCATGAATATCAGTTGGGTTTTACTCTAATTTGGAAGAATGGTAAGTGGAGGGAACTGAGTTGAACTTATATACAGTTGACCCTTGAACAATGTGGGTATGAACTGCATGGGTCCTCTTAAATTCAGATTTTTAAAAATAAATATATTGGAAAAATTGGGGGAGATTTGCAACAATTAGAAAAAACTTGCAGACAAACTGCATGGGCTAGAAATATCGAAAAATTAATAAAAAGTTATGAATACATAAAATATATGTAAATACTAGTCTTTTTTTATCATTTGCTTCTATAAAATATACACAAATCTATTATAAAAAGTTAAAGTTTATCAAAACTTACACAGTTACCATACATGGCACCATTTGTAGTCAAAAGAAATGTAAGCAAATGTAAAAATAGTGTTAAATCCTAACTGCATAAAATTAACTGTAGTACATACTGTAAGAGCACCTCCTGTTGCTATTGTGGTGAGTTCAAGTGTTGTGACTATCTGCTTAAGACGTCATGTGACGCTGGTCATCTCTGTATGAGCAGTTCATCTCTGATAAATTGCATATCTCAGTAAAAAGTGATCTCTTGAGGTGTTTGAGTATTTTTCATCATGTTTAGTGCAATAATATAAACCTCAAATAACACCATGGGACACATACCAATTGCCACTTTTGATGCTGGAAGTGCTCACAAGAAGCAAAATCATGACATTACAAGAAAAAGTTGAATTCCTTGATATGTACCTTAGATTAAGGTCTGCCCCTGTGCTTGCCTACCATATCAAGATAAATGAATCCAGCTTAAGGACTGTTGTTAAAAAAAAAAAGGAAAGGAAATTCTTGAAGTTGTAGCTATGCCAATAGGCACACAAACTTTGTACTTTTTGTGAAATACTGTTTTATCTTGTATTAAAAATGCAGTTTTCAAGGGGGGAGGGGAGGCATGGGCATATACGTAACTTTAACACTTGTACCCCCATAATACGCTAAAATAAAAAAATAATACGTTTTAAAAAATGCAGTTTTTATGTGGATGTAGAATTACTGTAACAAAGGCATACCTATAGACTCTAAGATGATTCAAGAAAAAGTGAAGTAGTCATTATTATGACAATGTAAAGCAAAAGGAAGGTGAATGATCTAACGCTGGACAATTTATGCCAGCAAAGGATGATTTGATAATTTTAGAGAGTTTTGCCTTAAAAAATATCAGGGTTAACAGGAGAAACAGCTTCCTCCAACCAAAAAGCAATAGCCAAGAAGAAAATCAACTGAAAAGAAAAAGTGCTGCCTGAATAGGTTTTTAATGCAGACAAAGGTCCTAATTCTAGGAAAAAATGCCACAAAAGGCATTTTTAGGCATTAGGAAGCAAAATGAGCACCAGGATTTGAGGCAGGAAGGGCTAGGCCAACTCTGCTGTTTTGTGCAAATGTAGTCAGGTTTATGGTCAAGCCTGCCCTTATCTGTAAAGCTGCTAAACTCCCAAGTCCTGAAGAGAAAGGATAAACAGGGCCAATCAATGAAATCATGGAAGAGATTATAGATATGGCAGAGAAGGTGTGGTGGGGGTGAAGGGTTTCAAAATATGGATCTTGGGAACCAGGTGCTTATGCTCATGTCTGTAGTCCCAACTACTCAGGAGGCTGAGGTGGGAGGATCACTTGAACCCAGGAGTTCAAGACCTGCCTGGGCAACATAGCAAGACCCCTCTCTCTTAAAAGGGAGTAAAAATGATATTGGAGAAGTTCAAGAGCTAATAAACACCACATCAGAGGAATTAACAGAAGACTTGATGGAGATGAGTGCTTTGGAACCAGTGGCAGATGTTGAAGAGAACATAGAAGCAGTACCAGAAAACAAACTGGCATTAGACAGTCTAGCAGAAGGGTTCGATTATTCTAGACTGCTTTTGATTTTTTTATGACATGAAGATTTCTATGATACAGGCACTGGAACTGAAGCACACAGTAGGATTGGAACTGTATAGAAACATTTTTAGAGAAATGAAAAAGCAAAAGTCAGACAAATTATGATGTATTTCCATAAAGTTACACTGAGTGTACCTGCCTCTTCTGCCTCTGCCACCCCTGAAAACAGCAACCTCTCCTCTTTCTCCTCTAGCCAGTCAACATGAAGATGAGCATAAAGACCTTTATGATGATCTACTTTCACTTAATGAATAGTAAATATATTTTCTATTCCTTTTGATTTTTTTTTTTTTTTTTTTTTTTTTTTTGAGACAGGGTCTCACTCCATTGCCCAGGCTGGAATGCAATGACTATTTACAGGCACGGTCATAGTGCAGTACAGCCTCGAATTCCTGGATTCAAGTGATCCTCCTGCCTCAGCCTCCTAAGTAGCTGGGACTATAAGCATGTATTACCATGCCCAACCTCCCTAGCTTCCTTTATTGTAACAATACAGTATATAATACATATGACATATAAAATAATGTGTTGACTATTATCAGTAAGGTTTCTGGTTGTTACTTGTTAAGTTTTGGGAGGAGTCAAAGTTATATGTGGAGTTTTGCTTTTTTTTTTTTTTTTTTTTTTTTTTTGAGACAAAGTCTTGCTATGTTGCCCAGGCTGGTCTCAAACTCCTGGCCTCAAGCAACCCTCCCACCTCAGCCTCCAGGTGCTGTTTCATGGCTGTTGTCAGTAAAGTGCTGGGATTACAGGCATGAGCCACTGTGCCCAGCTTATATATGTGGATTTTTGACTGCACAGGGGAAAGGGATTGTAGCCGCTAACCACAGCGATTTTCAAGGGTCAAGCTATACTGTATAATGAAATTTGCATCATAGTGTTAAGCAGCAGCGAGATAGGATATTATATGGCATGCAGACCATACAGCTATTTGCTGTCAGGTCAAATCATCTAAGTCTAGAAAGCTTGTGGGGTAGTTTTAGAAGAGGAGCAGAAATGACTCTTGATGCAAAGATGCCCTCATTCCCCTGGGAAGACAACAGTTCAGAGGTGGGGTAGGGTATTGTGAACCTTGGAGGAAGTGAGTCCTGTCTGAGCAGGGGAGTAAAAGCTGTTGTAGCCATCTTATCTTCACATTCTAAAACTTACTGTCATTACAGAGACACTGAAGTTATCTTTCATATGCCCATAAAAAGACAGGGTACTGTACTGGTTAAGCTGATACAGAGGGAAGTGAGTTAATGTCATTCATCCAGGGATACCTTAACATCCTCAGCTCCACAAAAGTGATTATGAGGGCAGAGAGCTCCCAGCTTCTCTGGAATGCCTGTGTTTCCAGGCTTCAGTCTCCAGATGCTTAGGCAACGGGGATTGGAGATGGTCTGCAATCCCTTCTAGCTTGAAAACTGTCATGATCAAATACCAGAAATGGCTACTTGCTTACTTTTTTAACATATAGTTTGCACTCACACCCTTTTGGAGACAGACTAAAAATGTGATGTGACATTCTTCTTGAAAATATACTTTCCCTTATCATTAGTTCATGATTTTTAGTGGCTTCCCCTTTCCACATTGTACAAGTACTTCCATCAGGGCTGTTGTTGATGCTACATGGTGGTTTTTTTTTGTTCTTTTCAGTGCCGAAGACTCAGATGAAATTCAGTATCCAGACGATGTGCCCCATCGAAGGAGAAGGGAACATCGCACGTTTCTTGTTCTCTCTGTTTGGCCAGAAGCATAATGCTGTAAATGCCACCCTCATAGATAGCTGGGTAGACATTGCTATTTTTCAGTTAAAAGAGGGAAGCAGTAAAGAAAAAGCTGCTGTATTCCGTTCCATGAACTCTGCTCTCGGGAAGAGCCCTTGGCTCGCTGGGAATGAACTCACGGTAGCAGACATCGTGCTATGGTCTGTGCTCCAGCAGACTGGAGGCGGCAGTGCGACCGTGCCGGCCAACGTGCAGAGGTGGATGCGGTCTTGTGAAAACCTGGCCCCTTTTAACAATGCCCTCAAGCTCCTTAAGTGAATTTCAGTAATGGATTTTAAAGGGTTTAGATTTTAAGAATGGTGCTGTTTCATGCCTGTTGTCAGTAAAGAGACTTGTATTAGAATCAAAGTCTTTTTATTTAGGCCAGTTGTCAAATATCAATAAAAGCATCATGTAATTTTTGGTTTTCATTTTATTTAAAATTCTGCAAAATCGTATGCAACATACCATGACAACTACCCACTATGTCGCAGGCACTTTCTGAGATTAAAAAATGAATATATCAGATTGTACATCTGCCTTTGAGGGATGTATACAGATTGATTGGGGAGTTGATTGCTGTAATAAAGCAGAGGACCGTGGGAACAGGGCAAAGGCAGAAAAGAGCATGTGTGAACTGCTTTGAGATCACTAGGGGCAAAAAGTACAAAGCTGTGCTAGGCATGGGGCTTTGGAATAATACTAAGTTGAAGGTGGGCAGAACAGATAAAAAGCTGGAGGTGCACACTGCTGAGGAGTTGAGCTTTTACCTTGGAGGCAGCAGAGAGCCAACAAAAGGGTTTGAGCCAAGAAATGAACTGATCAGATGTCTTTCTGGTAATTAACCTCAGCAACAGTGTGAAAGGGTGGGAAGACTGGCAGCTGTCCACATTGGAACAGTCCAGTCAGTGTGCAGGCCTGGACTGAGGCAGTGAGGGTAGGGAGCACACATCTATTTCTGTAGTAGAATCTAAAGGGGGACCAAGGGGTCAACGGGCAGAGTTTAAAGAAGAAAGAACACTTGAGGATGATGTCTTTTTAGTTTCAGGTACTGGGTGGATAGTAATACTTAACTAGGAAATTCAGGAATAGGAGCTTGTGCTATGGAAAAGGGAGGGAACAGGTTTAATTCAGACCAGTCTTAAGTTTGAGATGTTGAGTCATGCAAAAGCTACTTAAGGAAAAAGCATTTGGGGGCACTTTTACATCTTTAGTAAGTCTTGTACAGCCTTACTAAATATAATTAAGAATTATACCATTTGTGCCCTAATAAAGATTGAAAATTTACACTCCAGTTAACAATTTTAAGAGTTTTAAGTCCACTTTCATATTACCGACATAGCCTAATTAAGGCTAGACAGGTACACCGCCGTCTTTCATGCTGTCCTTCACCCCTTTGTCCTGAGAAAGGAGGTTTAGCTGCCTCTTTAGTTCTTCAATTTCTTTTTCTTGCTCTATTATCTTCATCTGTAGGGTAAGATTAACCTGTAAAGAGAAAATTTTAAGCTCCATTAAAATGGCTACTTCCCTTTTAAATATACGGAAGCCCATGCTTTGCATGGTTCCAATATGCGTGAGTTTGTTATCACAGTTTAGTTAAATAACACTAGTCACCCAATGGCATGGTTCAAGTGTCAGTGACCACAGTACGTTAACTATAACTCTTCAGTTCCCCAAACACTAGGTTAAATAACATGCACACCATGATCAGTGACAATCACTTTCAAGGTCTGTCAGAGATTGGTCATCATACATGTGAGTTCACAACAAAGTGTGTAGTTGTGTTGCCTCTTTGTCTTCCAGTGGGGAACCCACATGAGATTTGTTTTAAATGGATAAAGAGGGAACTAGCCAACAAAGATGAAAGTGCAGCAAAGTAATGAAAAGTTATATACTGGAATTGAAATTAGGATCAAACGTAACATTCTCATGTTGCAGCTACCAGCACTGAGTGAAAGCAGCTTCTCAACACAAATGAGGAAAGGGATGAAGATGTCCCGGAGAAAGTGACGCCAGCAAAAAAAACTTCACATTAAAAGAACTCTCAGAGGCCAGGCATGGTGGCTCATGTGTATAATCCTAGCACTCTGGGAGGCCGAGGCAGGAGGATCGCTCAAGGTCAGGAGTTCGAGACCACCCTGAGCAAGAGCGAGACCCCATCTCTACTAAGAATAGAAAGAAATTAATTGGCCAACTAAAAATACATAGAAAAAAAAATTAGCTGGGCATGGTGGTGCATGCCTGTAGTCCCAGCTACTTGGGAGGCTGAGGCAGAAGGATTGCTTGAGCCCAGGAGTTTGAGGTTGCTATGAGCTAGGCTGACACCACGGCACTCTAGCCCAGGCAACAGAGTAAGACTCTGTCTCAAAAAAAAAAAAAAACCTCTCAGAGATGTTTCACAACACAAAGTATACAAAGGATAAAATGTTGGAAGCGGATCCAAACTGAAGAAGGAGTATGACAATTTGCCAAGGAAAGAAAAGGTGCATACTCTGTCATATGTTATATGAGATGAAGGCAGTCACTGCTCAAACTGCTCCTGAGACACTTGAGTTTTTAATGTTTCTAACATTTTAAGATACAAAACACTAAATCAACATTAGTTTTATGATTTTTCATCTCTACATATATTTATAACTGACAGTAAGAGTTTAATGTTTTGCCAAATTTTAAAGGTCACAGAACAATCATAACTTTTCCCATTAAGATCCCTTTGCATGGCTTAAGCTTTGCTAGGTCATTTTTTAATTTTAATTTATTTATTTTTCTAGGGATGAGATCTAGTTCTGTCATTCAGGCTGGAGTGCAGAGGTGTGATCATAGCTCATTGCAGCCTCAACTCCTTGGCTCAAGTGACCCTCCTGCCTCAACCTCCCAAGTAGCTGGGACTACAGGTGTGCAACACCAATGCCTGGCTATCTTTGCTAGGTCATTTTTAACAGTACCACACTACCATGCAAAGCAAAGACTGCCTGTATATACAAGTCCTTATCTGTATAGGTGCATGTTGGTTACCTTTTTTACGATAAAATTTTACAAAATAGAAGAAATCTTTGTCATAAATAACTATGGTCTCTAATAGCTATCTTAACTGAGTGTTAGAAAATCCCCTTCATATGTGAAGATAAATGTTTATGCTTGGTTTTAAGAACCACATCTGTTATTTTTAAACACTTTCAAAAAGAGAAAAGTACTCCACCTACCTGTTTACCATTTAAGCTAATCAAATTCACCTATTTTACCTGACAAGCCTTAAATAGAAAGTAAGTCAGCTATCTGATTCTTCTAAACAGTCACTACAAGTGACTGGTTCCCAACTAGTATATGTCAGAATCACTTCAAAGGTTTGTTAGAGTACAGACTGTTGTCCCCTTTCCTCCCCAAATTTCTCTTTTTAGTAGGATGGGGGACCAGAGAAGGCCTGAGAATTCTAACAAGTTCCCAGATGATTTTATGCTGCTGATCTGGAGACTACACTCTGCGAACCACTGCATTCAGGCAATGCTGCTCAAACACTGTGTGTGTAAATCACTTGGGGATCTGCTTAAAACTCAGATTTTGACTCAGTATGTTGGGGGTGCAGCTACCAGGTAATGATGTGGCTGGTCTGAGGACTATACTTTAAGTCACAAAGCACTAGAGGATCTGTTTATATATCTTTGAATTAAGCCTTTATTAAATCTTAAAAAGTTTCTAGAGGAATAGAATGGATGAATCATCTACTATTTCCAGTATATGCAGACTAGAGACTATACCTGACACTATAACAACATAACAGGAAGGATGAAGGGAATGGTCACCCCAGGGGCAATGCCACATCTCACAGGACTGAAAACCACAATCACGAAGTTGAATGAGGAAAGCTCTTTCACTGGCTAAGGCTGTCTCTGCCATTGTTGTTCCAACTCCCCCTTAGAATTTCTGCTGTCCTTGACCCTTTGGTATGTGTCTCTTTACAAGTAGGTACTTTTATAAACTTTATAAAAGATTATATACCATACTTGGAAAGGAAAAATAAAACTTTTCACTGACTTAGCAAGATGAGGCTAGAAATTGAAGCTCCTAATTTTTAGGGTAGAAAGCTGGCAGTGACTCAATTTGCTTACATGGACTATGAATACAGGTGTGCTGCTGGTATTAAACTTAGTACTTGATGCACTGTTGGGGAACTCTAAAGATGGGTTTAAATATCTAGTTTCCACAAATCTTAAACTAAGCTCAACTCTTCTCTATGAAACAGGATTCATAATTTAAACAAATTTTATTTTAAGCTTTCTATTTTCTCCAGCATTAAAATTTATAGAGACCATATCTGCAGGCATCAGCTGCAGCCAGATCCAAGCCAGGCATTGTTGCTGCTCACCTGGTGGTCCTCAGCAACAGCATGCAGCTACCACCCAGGGACCAGAGCACACCCACAGCAGCACACTCTTCAGCACTACCCTCAGAGGAACCAGGATCAACAATGACCAGAATTCCTAATGGAATGTCAGACCTCGCCTGTGACAAAGACACCCCTTAGGGACCTGTCAACTGCTGGGGTCACCAGCCCTGCCAGGGATGACCACACACTCACAGACACACAGTAGCCAGCCAGAGCCACTTGTACCATGGCCCAGAAGATAAGTGGGCGGGTAGTGAAGAGTCACAGTTTGAGACAGACATTTTAAAGGACCAGTCACAGGATGGAGCATTGCCTATCTGCCCCTCCTTTCCTCTTTGTAAACATTAGCAGATGCCTCCTTGTGTCTCTGCTGATGCAGGAGCTGCTACTCCAAGGGAAGTGACTCCCATGAGCACACACCCTACAGGTAGACAAGGATAAGGCCCTTCTGAAGGATCATCTGGCTCTTCCAGCCCTATCCTCTGGGGCACACTCATCCCTTCCTTAGGTTGATGTGCCTGGGAAAGCTCCCCTCCCCTTTCTTCCCCAAGAGAGGAAATAAAAACCCCATAGGGCCAAAAAACAAAAATGTACATACATTTCCAGAATTTTGGAAAAGTTCGCTTTGCAGCAGCTGAACAGCAGATGGTCTCTGGGATGAGTTCCTTCTAGTTAAGTGCTGGATATACTTGGCTTGTACTGGCCACCTTTTACTGAGGGATTCAGGTATCTGACCAGTTCTCAAACCTGTTAAAACTTCTGCTCGTTCCATCTCTGTTCCAAATGGCTGAAAGAGCTCCAGCAGGATTACACCCAAGCTGTACATATCTGACTGGAAAAAGAATAGTAAGGGGAATTCACTAGTAAAATATAAAGTCAGAATAACATTTCCATTGCAATGTACCATCATCTCAAACAGGAGAGGATTTCTAAAAATGAGAATGTACAGTCACCTACAATGCAGGGAACACTGCAGGATGGTTCGTCCCTCATAGAGGCAGGTGTCTGCTCTGAGTAGAAGATGATCAAGACTCACAACCCTGTCTCTTACCATGAACAGTGGCATCTGTAGGGTCGATGGTCAGGTGAAGGGCAGGGATAATCTCCACCACCCACAGCAGTCAAGACCACACAACTATCTTCACCTTGACCATCAGGCCTGACCCAGACAGCATTTTGTGAGCTCACTCCTGCCAGTGCCAGCTACAGGAAAGCTACAGAATGTCCCAATCCTACTCCGGTCTCACCTCTGCCTCCATTCATAATTAAGCATTCTTAGTAACATTTAACAAACTCAGCAAAAAATCTATGCTACTTTTCCTAAACGTAGTTTTTTAAGGAAGGTCTTTACTAGATAGGATTTTAGGGGCAGCCATGGTTTTTTCTGGCAGCTCTTTCCCAATTGCTAAAATGCTAAATGATTCATTCAAAGGAACCAAATTCACTAGGCTGTTGTTGTTAGGAAAGGATTTACTTTAGCATTTCTTCAAGGAACAATAGGGTTTAAAACTTCACAATATCTTCCTTCTATTTCAAGGGAGTCAAGTGGCAGACTTATTTACCTAAGCTTGAAAACAGAGGAATGAAAAGCTAAAAAGAGGTTTCCCAAATTCCAGCTCCATGAGGTGAATGGAGACATTTTAAAGGGAAAGCTCATTTCAAAAATGATGTGTGACATCCATGGATGTAGAAAAAGTAAAGTGGCCTTAAAAATGCAGTCAGGGCCGGGCGCTGTGGCTCACGCCTGTAATCCTAGCTCTTGGGAGGCCGAGGCGGGCGGATTGCTCAAGGTCAGGAGTTCAAAACCAGCCTGAGCAAGACCCCGTCTCTACTATAAATAGAAAGAAATTAATTGGCCAACTGATATATATATAAAAAATTAGCTGGGCATGGTGGCGCATGCCTGTAGTCCCAGCTACCCGGGAGGCTTGAGGCAGAAGGATCACTTGAGCCCAGGAGTTTGAGGTTGCTGTGAGCTAGGCTGACGCCACGGCACTCACTCTAGCCTGGGCAACAAAGCGAGACTCTGTCTCAAAAAAAAAAAAAAAAAAATGCAGTCAGATCCAAGGGCCAGGCGCGGTGGCTCACGCCTGTAACCCTAGCACTCTGGGAGGCCGAGGCGGGAGGATCACTTGAACTCAGGAGTTTGAGACCAGCCTGAACAACAGCGAGACCACACCTCTACTAAAAATAGAAAGAAATTAACTGGCCAACTAAAAATATATAGAAAAAATTAGCCGGGCATGATAGCACATGCCTGTAGTCCCAGCTACTCAGGAGGCTGAGGCAGGAGGATCGCCTGAGCCCAGGAGTCTGAGATTGCTGTGAGCCAGGCTGATGCCATGGCACTCTAGCCCGGGCAACAGAGAGAGACTCTGTCTTAAAAAAAAATAAAAAATAAATAAAAATAAAAATGCAGGCAGATCCAATTGAAAAGTGAGGCTTATTCTTAGGGCAGTTTGATGTAATAGATAACCTATAGTACTCAATTATCTCCAAACACACCTCTGCAATAGAACTTCTCCATTTAATTGTACTGTTTGTTATTTATAATTGCAAAATAAAAGGGGAAAAAGTAACAAATACTACCTTGGCATCATACTCAGATCCTTCCAGCTGTTCAGGTGAAGCATACAGACAAGTACCCACTCTGGAAGTATGTGTTGGTATTCCTGTAATTTCAAAATCCACATGTTAAACATTGCTGTGTTAACACCATCAGCATGAAAAAACATTTACTAGAGCAGGGCCTTTTAGCTCCTAAGGGAACAATGATTGCTCTTTGTCTTTATCTCACCTTTGCTATTAAATCTTTATGGTTCTCTTTAAATACTGACATATTCAACCTTATCTTTTTTTAATGCAAAAAAACCCTCAAAAAACCCCAAAAAACTTACTCTTCCCATTTCCATTGGTCCAGTCTGTGTTCTTGTGTATGATGTCTGTGCAGGCCAGACCAAAGTCTCCTATTTTTACTTGCTGATCAGGGCCATGAAGAAAAATATTTCTAGGCTATAAACAAACAGAACAAATCAATTCATTGCCTTTCTTAAAACAAATAGTAAAAACTTGTGAATGTTAAGAGTTTCCAACTCAGGAGCAAGCAGCTTCCTCAAAAGTTAAAAATTTGAGCAACAGTTCTCAAATTCGGCTGTACATTAGAATCACTGGGGAGAGTTTTAAAAAAAAAATCTCAATGTCCAAGCCTTTCCCCAGACCAACTAGATCAGAACTCCTGGAGGTGGATGGAAGCATCAGTTTTATTTAAAAAGACCCACAGTGATTTCAAATTTGAGAATCATTAATGTAGAGCATATTTAATATACAAGGGCTTCTCGACTCTGGCTGTCCATCATCACCCAAGAAGCTTTTAAAAACAACTGTCGGCCGGGCGCGGTGGCTCACGCCTGTAATCCTAGCTCTCTGGGAGGCCGAGGCGGGCGGATTGCTCAAGGTCAGGAGTTCGAAACCAGCCTGAGCAAGAGCGAGACCCCGTCTCTACTATAAATAGAAAGAAATTAATTGGCCAACTAATACATATAGAAAAAATTAGCCAGGCATGGTGGCGCATGCCTGTAGTCCCAGCTACTTGGGAGGCTGAGGCAGAAGGATTGCTTGAGCCAGGAGTTTGAGGTTGCTGTGAGCTAGGCTGACGCCACGGCACTCACTCTAGCCTAGGCAACAAAGTGAGACTCTGTCTCAAAAAAATAAATAAATAAATAAATAAAAAATAATAAAAAAAAAACAACTGTCTTCTCCAAAGTCCAAAGATGTTGGTATTTTTTATGAAAGAACTTTATTTAATATTTTTTAAAAACTTCCAGATGATTCATATTCATTCAGGGTTGGGAATGAGTAGGTCACCCTAAATGGCTCTACTAAAGTAGCTGCTGCAGACCCAAAACATCCCCAATAGACGCATCCCTATGCCAGTGAAAAACTGCACCTGTAATAGGGGGAGGGAATATTCTACCAAAAACTTAAAAGTACTTAGCTTAAAAGTTATTGTCTTACTTTATGTAATAATTTCAGTTTTTTACTTTAATGTATAAATTCTCCCATTTTAGCTTTGTCAGTGTTTGAACAAAGGTTGAACTGGAAGAGAAAATAGAAATAAAGGTATAAGATGATAGTTTGGATATGTTTTTGTGAGTGAGTGGAAGATCCTAAAAACTGTGCTGACATTTGACACTCTATGATCAAGGAACAGGTCTGAAAAATTCTGGCTCCAATATAAAAATCAATTGCGTTCACAGATAAAATTCTCAACAATTCTAGAACAGTTCCAGAACTGCACTGAAAGAATCATCACAAAGAGGCTGAAACTGACCAACTCCATAACATTTTCCTCTGAACTCTTAAGTCGTTGCTGTTAAGTTTTTCTCATGGGAAATATAATCAAGAGAGAAAGTAAAGATCAGGTCGTAGATAGTGCCAAGTCCCTGGAAGATGGCCCATCCGTAGCACTTCACACGAAACTCTATGAGGCCATAATGAGAGAAGACTGCCCTACAATCAAGGCACTCCTCAGAAGTCACCCCGTCAACCAGCCCATGACTATTCTGGCCAACTCCACCAGTTACAGATTATTGCTGAACCAGGTACACTCTTTTCCGGTCAGGCCTTTTTAGAAAAGACAGGATGCTTAGGAAGGAGCATGATCTACTACTCACGAACTCACTAAACTCCTCACTGTCCTTACAATGGACGGTACATCTCCAGCTTACTCCACACTCAGAACAGTGCTCCCCAAAGTCTGCAACCCCTGCCTTCCACTTAACATACATAAACTGAAGTGAGAAAAGACTAGAACCTGTCTGCTGGAAGAAAATTAATGTCATCCTCTCAAATATACCCATGGTGATTACGTCTGTATGATGGAATTCTTTTTTCCTTTTTAATAGCTATTTCTTCATTTTCTAAATGTTTATACAATGATTACTGCCTTTATAATTAAATATTTTTTCAAAAAGTAAATCACCCGCTTCATCCCACCCTCTCCTCTTATCTTGCAGTCATAGTATAAAAGCCACTACTTATATATTTTTTAAGAAGAACTGGCATAAACATAATCATAGACAGGACATATGCTGCATTATCTTTAAAAACTTTGAGGATGCAGGTTTTACTGCTGATAATGTGACTTTGGCAAAGCCTTAAAAATACAACACCTATTTGTCAATTAAACCCATGGGTTAATTTAAGAAATAAGTGACTTCATAGCAATTATCATTAATATTATACTAGTGCTCTTCACAAGGATCAACTTCCAAAACCTTTCAAACCTTTGAGTGTCTTTTCTGTTTCCTCAGTAAACTTGCCTTTCTATAAAACACAGACTTTATTAATATGAAATTCACTGAGTTTCGGTCATTTCAAACAGGCAACAGAAAGGAAAATTTCAATGCACATGCAAGAAAAATATTGAACCCATAAGATCCTAAATAAATGTGTATTTCCTTTGAAATGGCAAGCCAACACAAATACTATTTTTAACTACACAGGGCTAACTGTAACGTATTTTGCTTTCCCCCTAAGCAGACACAATCTATCATCCCCATTCATCTGGCTGCTGAATACCGCAAGGCACAAAGTTTGCTTTGTTTGTTAGAACACGGTGCTGACCCAGAAGTCAGGTAAGTTAACGCAGCAGGCAATCATTTATAAATGAAGATATACCTGATTTAGATTTTTTCGGTTCATAATATTTTACAGTTATACCTGGACTTGTGCATTCTTCATGCATTATGGACTACAAATTATCCTCTTTTGAATGAACCGATTTCTTTAGCAATTAGATGAGATACTCTGAAATGTTGGAAATAATGCAACAACACAAGCGAGTCAGCCGAATTAGTGCACAGCGAGTATTAAGTACTCAACAGTGGTATTGTGGAAAATGCACTAAGTCCCAGTCATGGCCCTCAAGAAGTTTAATGACCTAAGTTAGGTATGAAAAATTAGAAAATATAAATAGACAATGGATTTTCTTGTTTATTATCCTCCACTAGAAGGTAAGCTTAGTGAAAAAGAAGTTTATCTTGCTCACCACTCTATCTCTACCACCTAAACCAAAGGCCTAACACTTAGTAGGTACCTAATAAATACTATTTGAATGAATAAAAGAATTATACAGTATAAAAATGATGGGTTGGGCACAGTGGCTCACACCTGTAATCCCAGAACTTTGGAAGGCCGAAGTAGGAAGATAGCTTAAGGCCAGGAGTTCAAGACCAGCCTAGACAAAAAACAAAAAAAACAAGGCCAGGTGCAGTGGCTCACACCTGTAATCCTAGCACTCTGGGAGGCCGAGGCCAGCAGATCACTCGAGGTCAGGAGTTCGAAACCAGCCTAAGCAAGAGCGAGACCCCAAGAAATTAATTGGCCAACTAATATATATAGAAAAAATAAGCCAGGCATGGTGGCACATGCCTGTAGTCCCAGCTACTTGGGAGGCTGAGGCAGGAGGATCGCTTGAGCCCAGGAGTTTGAGGTTGCTGTGAGCTAGGCTGACGCCACAGCACTCACTCTAGCCTGGACAACAATGTGAGACTCTGTCTCAAAAAAAAAAAAAAAGACCAGCCTAGGCAACATAGCAAGACCCTGTCTCTACCAACAACAAAAAAAGAAAACTAGCCTGCCATGGTGGCACATGCCTATAGGCCCAGCTACTTGGAAGGCTGAGGTGAGAGGATCGCTTGATCACCCAGGAGTTTGAGGTTGCAGTTAGCTATGATGATGCCATTGCATTCCAGCCTGAGCAACAGAGCAAGACCCTATCTCAAAAAAAAAAAAAAAAAAAAAAGAACTTATTGCCCCAAAACCTTGCCATGCTCCACAAGAATCTACCTGATCTGTCTTGCTCTCAATCTCTCCCTAAGCACCCCACCCCAGCTCTGCAAGTCCTCTCAAAGTCCTTCTACATGTAGAATCTAGACCATCACAGACTCACCCCATCTTCCTCAGGCACCCTTTCCTACCTTTCATACTACATACAGTATGTGAGGCTTCTCTACCTCTCTGGAACTTTGCCTACTTCTAATATTTAGTTGTCTGACTATGTTTCATGTCTGTCTTCCATACTAGACCATCACTCCTACAAAGGTAGGGACCACTTGCTGTTTCACCAAATCCCCAGCTTAGGGCTTCACAAAAAACCTTCCCTTTTCTCTGCCAGAACAAAGGAATTTTGGAAACAATTCTGAGAGATGAAGGCTAAGTTATAATATGCTCATCCACCTGGGATGGAGTAGGGAATGACAGTGAAATGGCTTCACTAACTTGAGAATGACCAACCCTCAGTCTTCAGATTCAACCCTTACCATCTACTCCACGACCTATACACCTGAACTGAGTAAATGGGAGTTCTGGCCCTTCATGATTCACTTCTATGGTAATAACAGATCATACTCAAGTCCACACAATTTCACTAAATGCCTACTAACTCAGCCCAGCACTGTGCAAGGAAATAACTAAGATCTAGCCTCACAGGGGTCACAGTCCTAGCAGGAAATCAAAGTTGATGAGGCCTCAAAGAAGCTGGGCCCCACCATGAAGTGATGCATCCCACCACATACCCAAAAAACCCTGAGAAATTACCCAACAATGCAGATTTTGAAACACTGCTTTAAAGTAATTAAAGTATATTACTGTAAATAAACATTGCCTTCTTAAACATTAATTCTTCACGTAGAGCCATTTCCACTGTGCATTTAATGTAATGTGTGACCAATATCTATTCTAGGGACACAAGAGGCCTCACCACACTCCACTTGATGCTTCTGCACTGGCCAATCACTTCTAACACATGGACAAAACCGGGCAACAGAATCCAAAGGATCTTGACAGACATTCAGAATAATGCTGTGATGTGTCTCCGCATCTTGTGTGAACATGGAGCTCAAGTTAATGCTCGTGTAGACAACAGCAACAATCATTCACCACTCCACCTGGCCATAACATACGGGACCTATCCGGTTCTCTCCATTTTGGCCCAAAATGGCGCCCATGTCAATGCTGTTAATGAATCTAGCATGACACCCCTTCACATGGCTGCAGATATCCTGAACAGGGAGATGATGGAAACGCTCATTGCCTGTGGAGCAAACGTGAACTGTGCTATCTCTTCCACGGGAAACACGGCCCTGAAGCTGGCGGTGTGCACTGCATCAAGCAAAGCGGGCCGGCTCCTGGGAGTGGGGATGAGCTGCATCCGTTTGCTGCTAATGCACGGAGCCAAAGTCAATGCCCAGGACCACGAGGGTCAAACAGCTATCCACGAGGCTTGTTTTGGAGGCAGGGGGACAATAATCAATCTCTTGCTCGAATTTGAAGCAAATGTTAATATTTTAACAAGAAATGGGGAATCTCCGATTTATATGTACCTTCAGCGCAGTTCCAATGTAAGAGATAGGACACTTCTTGCCAGGCTACTTTATCACACTTATCCTTTGAGGCTGACCAATAAGCAAGGGATTCTACCTGCAGGAATCATGCTACCAGAATTCCATCTCTTAAGGGAAACCCTAATAAAGCTATCTCAAAACCCTTTATCCCTAGAGGATATCTGTAAAAGATATATCAGAAATATTTATGGTGAGAGATACAAACAATTTTTGAAGCAACTTCTCCCAGTGAAGATATGGAATTCTGTATACTGTTATTATGATGTAGCTTACCTCTTGAAATAAGCTCTTGAAGTTTCACAGTGCCAGAGAATTTCAGTAACTCAAATTGCATTTTCTGGCTAGACATGTGCCAGAAAATACTTAACCCATCACTTTTTACATCCCAAATGTACAAACTCTGGTTCTTAAACTTTTTTCAAAAAATAAAGTGATTTGCATATTAAGTTTTTTATTCCTAAATTTTCTTTTAAATGCCTTTTCTTTGCTTTAATTTTTGCCTGAAAAGTAAGCAAATTAATTGAAAACTCTTCAGCCAAGGAAATAAACATATTTCCTCTTTTCTTGATAGTCTTCTATGGGTAAAAATTACAACAGTCATTATAGATTTTTTTAAATAGCAAAAAAAATTCCCATGTTCACTTTCAAGATGGATAATTACGGAAACAGAATTTACCTCTAGGGCTATAGTAATATATGAGCATTTCTGTCAGCATTAAGTGCGTTATATTAGTACTCAGGGCATACCACCTGAAAAACAGTACTCACACTCTACAGAGAATTTTCAAATGCCCCAAAATTATTGCTTTAAAATTCAATCTAAGGTTTTCATGTCTGGACCTATGGAATGATGATTTATATAACAGTAATCATAACCTCATAAGTAAATGGACTAGGGCATATAATCTCATTTAATTCAATGAACCAACATCAAGTCACCCCTGATAAGAAGCTAACACTGCTTTCAATGATTCCGTCAGCCCCACTTACCTTCAGATCTCTGTGTACAATTCCCATGTTATGTATGTAAAACACACCTTCCACCAATTCTTGAAAAATTTTCGTTGCAACACTGGCCATAACATAAGGACCTTGAAGTGAAAAAATAGTTTTCTATTATTTTTTATTTTTAATTATTATATTAACATCTAAATGTTAATGTGGTTCTGAATACATTAACATCTGAATCTTAGCAACATTCAGATTTTCAACAGTCAACACTCCAAAATGGTCTAAAACCTAGAAATAAGCAGAAAGGACTCCTCAGTTAGCAAAGAAACCACCCAAACTAGCACCCGACAACAGATTCTGCCACCAAAAAGAGAATACTTCTAATTTCACTCAGTGCCCCTCCATTACTTTTAAATAATTCTCAGGCATCAGGTGACTAGATTAGATGAAGTTTAAGTCTCTTCAACCCTTGACATCCTGGGGTTTAATGCTAATAAATGTGGTGTCCTAGCCCACTATGGATTAAAGATACTGTTACAAATAATGAAGAAAAAAGACAAATTATGTTAGCTCGAGGGGTAAGCTTCCATTATCCAGAATGCCTCATTTTCCAAAAAATGACTGACATATAAAGTATATGGCAAAAAAAAGGTAAATGAATTAATTTGTCTATTAATATAACATAAGCAAATTTAGAGGGTAGAAAGATTTTATAGGACAAAAGAAAACAAAAATTGATAAAAAATCCTGGAGTTTTCCCACCAAGTAAGTTAATAATATCATAATAAAAGCTTAACAGCTCAGTCTAAAATGGGAGGACCGTTTGAGCCTAGCAGTTCAAGACCAGCCTGGGCAACAAAGCAAGACCCTATATCAATTAAAAAAAAAAAATCACAAACCTATTATTTACCTTCAAGAACAAGAATATTACATGCTCCAATTTCCTTAAATGAGCTTAGTTGGTTTCATAACTCATATCAATTCCACACTAAGAAAAAGCATGCTCTTTTATAGTATCTAACATATACTTGGGCAAGTATCTTAGAAGACAGAAAACTGTGTAAAACCAATGGTTTGACTCGTAATACCCCGTTATGACTCCCCTCACAGTGAAGTGACCCACCTCCTATCTGGGTAGAAATGCAAGGAAGGCTTTTGACTTCCACAACTATTCAGAAAACTGCCTTCCTTTGGTCTGTCTTTAAAACACAAGGTTCTCATTGTAACCCACCTTACATATCCAAACAGCAGGCAACAGTTGGAGGATTCAGTAACCATACACAGATCTGACCCTGTGGTAACAATCTACACTGACTCAGTGCTTTCTCTATGCCTGACAATCCTTTACACTTAGCACTTTAACTCTCACAACAACCCTATAAAATAGGGGTAATCCCATTTTACAAATGAGGAAACAAACAAAGAACCCAAAACCTTGCAGCTGGTTGAGTACAAGAGCCAGGATTCAAATCCAGATCTGTTGCTCATGGGATTCTTGGAAATGATGAAATGTACAAATAAAATGGATATAAAGCTATAAACACAGTGCTAGACTACTACAAAGTTAAAACTTTTTATTTTAAAATATTTTTAAAAGAAAAATATACACCATGCTAGCAGCATCAAACATATTTCACCTTTGTTGTTTTGATGTTTACTGTACTGGATGATATATAGTTCTAATTCTGTACTCATTACTTCTTTTTCAAATGGAAGTTTAAAGATCAACAATTGCATACAGGGCTTTAATAAACCATTTTCCTTTTCAAAAAGACATTTGCACATAAACTTCAATGCTCATACAGCAAGCAAAGGATACAGGTTTACAGGGAACTGAAAATACCCAACAAGATACTTGCCAAGACTGAACTGGACAAAGTTCTGGCATGTCCTTCTAATGACATGGCAAACACAGAAGCAGCACTGGGGTGTGTCCAGGAGTTGCTGGAGGAAGACGTTATGTTTCTGCCTTCCCACTGGCAGCTAGTCTAAGATTCTGAGTAGGTTAACTGATCTATGTTTTAGACCAAATAAAGCAGTGAATGGCAAATGATTAATGACTGATACTTAGTTGAGTCTTTACTTAAAATTAGGTCACTCTCATCTGCTTTTTTGATAATCTCATACAGTCATTTTTTTTTCTTTCTTCACTTGTATCTGACCTTTCAGGATAAAATACAGTCATTTTAAACTTCAGCTACACATAAGAATCAACAAGAGAATTTTCAAAAACATACCAAAGGCCAAGACCTATTCCAGACCAACTGTATAAAAGTAACTGGTATGGTCCCACATAACAACTTTTTTAAAAACTAATTTTATCTTTTAGAGTAGTCTTAGACTAATAAAGAAACTAAGAAGATACTGCAGTTTTCCCACAGAACCCATATCTCACTTTCACTGTTATTAACACCTTACATTAGTATGGGACATTTGTTACAATCAATGTACCAATACTGATACATTATATTACTACCTGAAGCCCAGAGCTTATTCAGATTTCCTTAGTTTTTACCAGTTCCTTCTCTGTCCCAGGACCCCATTCAGGATATACCATGTTACACTGAGTTGTCATCTGTGTAGGTACTATGGTTTATGATAGTATCTCAGACTTTTCTTGTTTTTGATGACCCTGACAGTTTTTTTTGTTTTTTTTTTGAGACAGAGTCTCCCTTTGTTGCTCAGGCTAGAGTGAGTGCCGTGGCATCAACCTAGCTCATAGCAACCTCAAACTCCTAGGATCAAGCAATCCTGCTGCCTCAGCCTCCTGAGTAGCTGGGACTACAGGCATGTGCCACCATGCCCGGCTAATTTTTTCTATATATATTAGTTGGCCAATTAATTTCTTTCTATTGATAGTAGAGACGGGGTCTCGCTCTTGCTCAGGCTGGCTTTGAACTCCTGATCTCGAGCAATCCACCCGCCTCAGCCTCCCAGAGTGCTAGGATTACAGGCGTGAGCCACCGCACCCAGCCGACCCTGACAGTTTTGAGGAATATTGGTCAGATACTGTATTTGATTTGTCTGATGTTTTTCTCATGATTAGACTAGGATTATGTTTTGGAGAGCAGGACCACAGAGATAAAGTGTCCCTCTCGCCACATCACATCAAGGAGGCACATGGTCCCCACAAGACTTGTCACAGTTGATGCTCATCTGGATCATGGCTACGGTGGCATCTGTCAGGTTTCTCCACTATAAAGTTATAGTTCTCTACTGCAAAACTGCTCTTTTTTTATTGACATCTTTTTAAAAGTTCCCCCAGGTGATTCTAATGTGCAGCCAAAGTTGAGAAGCAGTGGCACAATATTTTAAGTTATCAGCCAGCAGAGTACTCCTAGAAGGATACATAACTGGGGGGTCTGTGGGGAGGGGGAGGCTGGATCTTAAGGGAAACAAACTTTTCACCATATACCCTCTATAAGGAATTTCTTTTTATAAGAGTATCATACTTTCAGGTTAAAAATAATAATAAAAACAAGCATTTAATTTTGTCTCTTAAAAAAATTAAAAGGGGACCTAGAACCCCCTAAGTGAACAAGAAATAAACTTCTATTGTGTTAAAAAATTTCTTTAAACCTTTTCTCTCCACAAACATTAACCTAAATTCCAGTTTATTACTGCTTAATTATCAATAAACTAAATATCAGAGAAAAATCACTTCCAAATACCTAATTGTTTTTGAAAAATGTTGAAATAAGCAAAATTATTTCTTTGAGTTCCACTGGGGTTTTTTGTTTTTCGTATAAGACACCTGGAGCCAATTCCTACATTCGATGGAGAAGATTTGATTTTGTCTTTATTTCCCACCCCAGTATGTACAGACCAGCATGGTACTTACAGGCAGATTCGTCCACACACTCTCGGCCGCGCTTATTCCTCTCGACTATCCAATCCCACAGGGAGAGCTCACACAGCTGCATCTGGATGTGCAGCATCAGGTGATACTGCACCTAGGAGAAGACACACTGCTGTCTCCATCTTTGCAAGATTCACTCACATTATTCATTTAGCCAACAAATACCTGCCTACTCTAGACCAAGTGTCATATCTACCTGCTGAGGACACAGGCCTGCCCCAGAAGTGTAGAATCTAATGAAGGAAATAGATAAATAAAGTGATAATTAAAATTGTGTGATAATACAAAGAGGAAGAAGTAGGCCAGCCTGACGTCAGGCAGGGGTCCAATGATAGAAGCTCTCCAATGTGACACAGAGCAACTGGTCCTGAAACTGGTCTGCTCACTACATAAAGTTGTTTTTTGTTTGTTTGTTTGTTTGTTTGTTTGTTTTTGAGACAGAGTCTCTCTGTTGCCTGGGCTAGAGTGCCATGGTGTCAGCCTAGCTCACAGAAACCTCAAACTCCTGGGCTCAATCGATCCTACTGCCTCAGCCTCCCAAGTAGCTGAGACTACAGGCATGTGCCACCATGCCTGGCTAATTTTTTTTATAGATGTATTTTTTAGTTGTCCAGCTAATTTCTTTCTATTATTTTTGTAAAGACAGGGTCTCGTTCTTGCTCAAGCTGGTCTCAAACTCCTGAGCTCAAACGATCCTCCCGCCTCGGCCTCCCAGAGTGCTAGGATTATAGGCATGAGCCACCATGCCCTACATAAAGTTTTAAAAGCTAAGATAAAGCATCAAAGAATGGCTGTATGGTACTCTACTACTGTATGGATTCACCAACATACATATACTGTGGCAGGCTTCACACTGTACATAACTAATAACTTATTCAAGAAAAAGGTAGGCAAACATTAAGTTCACTATAGCCACTTATTTAGGTATCCAAGAGAATTTTTCAAATCTAATGCAGAGAAATAAAATGATTCTGACTAAAAGTCCCTCAAACTCAACTCCTTTGGACTCAGGTGAACCAGTTCAAAGTTCTTTTCATTAGAAAAGTATGCATAGAAACATATTTTTTTTAATTTTGTTTTAAGATAGGGTCTCACTCTATCACCTGGGTTAGAGGACAGTGGCATCATCATAGCTCGCTTCAACCTCAAATTCCTGGGCTCAAACGATCCTCCTGCCTCAGCCTACCAAGTAGCTGGGACTACAGGCATGCGCCACCATGCCTGGATAATTTTTCTGTTTTTTGTAGGAAAGGGGTTTCTCTCTTGCTCAGGCTGGTCTCAAACTCCTGGTCTCAAGCAATTCTTCTGGGCCTCCCAAAGTGCTAGGATTACAGGTGTGAGCCACTGTGCCCAGCCTGAAACATATATTTCTTTTTTTTTTTTTTTTTTGAGAGAGTCTCACTTTGTTGCCCTGGCTAGAGTGAGTGCCATGGCGTCAGCCTAGCTCACAGCAACCTCAAACTCCTGGGCTCAAGCGATCCTCCTGCCTCAGCCTCCCAAGTAGCTGGGACTACAGGCATGCGCCACCATGCCCGGCTAATTTTTTTTCTATATATATTAGTTGGCCAATTAATTTCTTTCTATTTATAGTAGAGACAGAGTCTCGCTCTTGCTCAGGGTAGTTTCGAACTCCTGACCTCAAGCAATCCACACGCCTCGGCCTCCCAGAGAGCTAGGATTACAGGCATGAGCCACTGCGCCCGGCCGAAACATATATTTCTTGACAAAAATTGATTCTGCATTGTGTATATATAGATGGTATATATAGTTTTAGAATCCTAACAAGATAGATTAATTGTAGATCTTTTAATGTTTAAGTTTTTTAATACTAATATTCAGTAATACTGGTGTAAATAAGGTGAGAGTTTGACCAGCGTATCAGTATAAACCTCAACAAAAGTATCCTGAAAACTAAAACTATAAAATAAATTAAAAAATAAAAAAGAATATTCTGAAAACTTACCTGGTAATCCTACTAGGACTCACCAAAAGCCATGCTCAAAAATCATTTTGCGTAATTTTTATTTCAAAGACAGGGTCTCACTCTGTTGGCTAGGCTAGAGTGTAGTGATAAAATCATAGCTCACTGCAGCCTCAAAATCCTAGCCTCAAGTGATACTCCCACCTCAGCCTCCTAAGTAGGTGGAACTACAGGGGCACACGAGTACACTCAGTTCATTTTTTAAAAAATTTTGTAGAGGTCTTGTAATGTTGCCCAGGCTGGTTTTAAACTCCTGGCCTCAAATAATTCCTCCTGCTTGGCCTCCCAAAGTACTAGGAGTACAGGCATGAGCCACAGCGCTTGACCTTTTTTTGCATAAATATATTTTTGTAGCATGATGCTAACATGCAATAGGAATAGAATGTGAATGAGGTTTCCAAATCCATAGTACATATACAAGAATATCTATCTAGAGGTGTATAAATGACCCAGTCGGGGAAGTCAGAAAGGATTAGTAGGAGTTAACTAAGTTAAGGAGGGAAAACCAAATACAAAGGCCGTTTGGTAAGGGAACATGGCAAGTACAAGAGACTGAACACAGAGCAGAAGAGCTGGAGCTGAGAGAGGCAGGAGCAGGAGGTAGGAGGTCCGCTGAGGAAGCAGGAACGCCACGTGTAATCACAGCCCTTCTTACGATTACAGGGGTAAACATCAACTTGGTAGGTTCTAGGCAAATAATCTACCTCTGTCTGCCCCAACAAGTTGAAGTTTTCTTCAGAAGATTCCTCGGTGGATGTGAAATCCTCTTCTAGGTCTGAATTATGCCTAAGTGGCAGCTGCTGCTGAACGATCGATCTGGTAGACAAATCAGCCAAGCTATTTTTTTGGAGCTCAATGGACGATTCCAATTCACTGTTGTCTCTTATGACTAAATTGGTGGTATAGTTCACCAATTTGTTATTCTGATTTTCAACATCAGATTCTCCAAAGCGTTTTTCTTTTTCTGAGGTAAACTCAGCAAAGATAATGGATGAGCTACTACTTTCATCATTTTTAACACCATATTCATCTCTGGAGAAGAAAACAGTAAAGACAAGAAGTCAATGTAAAAAAAAAAAAGTCAGTGTAAAAAGAGATCAAGAGTAACTCAACTGTTCCTTCAAGGTATAAATCTTATAGGTAAGTTTCTGAAAAAAACAGCATCAAATCTGTCTAACAGCAACATTTATTTAAAATACTGAAAGAAGGACAGGAGTGGTAGCTCACGCCTGTAATTCTAACACTCTAGGAGGCCAAGGCGGGTGGATTGCTCGAGATCAGGAGTTTGAAACCAGCCTGAGCGAGACCCCGTCTCTACTAAAAATAGAAAGAAATTAATTGACCAACTAAAAATATATATACAAAAAATTAGCTGGGCATGGTGGCGCATGTCTGTAGTCCCAGCTACTCAGAAGGCTGAGGCAGAAGGATCGCTGGAGCCCAGGAGATTGAGGTTGCTGTGAGCTAGGCTGATGCCATGGCACTCACTCTAGCCTGGGCAACAAAGTGAGACTCTGTTTCAAAATAAATAAATAAATAAAAATAAATAAATAAAATAAAATACTGAAAGGAAATATCTGACAGGAAGAAATAATTTAACATTTTGTAATGAAAATAAGCAAAAAGAAAATCTAAAACACTCCTCCTTATAAACAAAGACAAAAATAGCCCAATGCAGGTGACAGTGGGTAATGTCCTAATGTGTGCAGATGTACACACCAGTCCACATACCTGTCCTCTGCCTGGTCAGAGAGCATTTCCAGAGATGGCAACGGAATGGAAATTCTGTCTGCTGAGCAAAACAAAAAACAAAAATCTTCAAATAGCCCAGTTTTCCAATTTATAGTAAAAGGCAGAGTTAAATATATGAACAGTACAAATGAAACTGTATGTCTAAAAATGTCAGGACTTTCTGGCAAAATACATACAAGTTAATTCAAATGACTGGTACATTTTAGAAACTATAAAAATAGAGCTGTTCAACTATAAGAGGGGTCAGCAAACTTTCTCTAGAGCAGCAGTCCCCAACCTTTTTGGCACCAAGGACCAATTTTGTGGAAGACAATTTTTCTACGGACAGCTTGCAGAAGAGGGGGTTGTTTCAGGATGATCAAGCACATTACATTTATTGTGCAGTCCAACCTCTCTGCTAATGATAATCTGTATTTGCAGCTGCTCCCCAGTGCTAGCATCACTGCCTCAGCTCCACCTCAGATCATCAGGCATTAGATTCTCCTAAGGAGTGAGCAACTTGGTCCCTCACATGCACAGTTTACAGCAGGGTTTGAGTTCCTATGAGAATCTTATGCAGCACTGATCTGACAAGGAGGCAGAGCTTATGCAGTGATACCAGCACTGGGGAGCATTGGGAGGAGCTGCCAATACAGACCAAGCTTAGCTCACTTGCCCACCACTCATCTCCTGCTGTGCCACCCGGTTCCTAACAGGCCATGGACCAGTCTTGGGTTGAGGACTACAGCTCTAGAGGACCTGATTATAAATATGTTAGGTTCTGGGGGCCCTGAGGGACTCTGCTGTGACTACTCAATTCTGTTACAATGTAAAAGCAACCATAGACAATATATAAACGAATGAGCCTGTGTTCTAATAAACTTTATTGACAATGAAATTTTGGATTTTATATAATTTTCACAAAATATTCTTCTTCTTATTTCTTATAACTACTTAAAAATATAAAAACCATTCTCAGCTTGTAGTATGTACAAAAACAAAGGCAGGCCAGATTTGGTCCCCGGGCTAAAGTTTGCCAACCCTTCAACTACTATATCATCAAAAACTGCTTACCGTGTGGCTGGACCACATGAACATGTTCTATCCATGCAGTGTGATAGCCTACAATATTAGGGTGCTGAAGACCTGCCAGCACCTTCACTTCCCTTAGTACCTAAAAAAGAAATATAATTAGATTTGGCTTTTGCTGACAACTTGTTAAATGCTCATGGAATCAAATATCCCTTGTTACAGAGCAAAACACAGACCTTTCCTGACTTAACAATGGTGCAAAACTGTCAGAATTTTCAACGTACTTTGAATTTTGATTTTTCCCCAGGCTTGCAATATACAGTACATGAGATACTCAACACTTTATTATAAAATAGGTTTTGTGTTAGTTGATTTTGTCCAACTGTTGGCTAATGTAAGTTCTAAACACATTTAAAGTAGGCTAGGCCGAGCTACGGTATTCAGTAGGTTAGGTATATTAAATGCATCTTCAAATAATGATAAATTCAACAAAACTCCATCATAAGATGAGGAAGATATACAATAAAAATCCTTCTGTCAGGGAATCCAAACTATGTTAAAATAATAAAAATATTTTTTGTGAGAGACAAATGGCAATTGTTAGAGCAACTAAATAATTTACATTTATATAGCACTTTATACTTTTTATAGCTCACTTGTCATTCTCTCATTTGATTCCCATGTCAGTCTTCCAAGGTAAGCAACCACTGCTGTCACAACTACTTCAGGGCAGGAGACAGAGCAACCAAGAAGACTAGGCAATTTGCCCAGGATCACACAGCGTGTCTGGGAGCAGACGGGGACCTGAACAGGGCTTATGATTTTTCATAACTATCTATTAATCATTTATCTTAAAAATTAATTTCCACAGCAATGACTCTGAAATGTGGTCTGGAGTGCCTATAAAAAATTACATCAAATAAAAATTTAGTTTTGATGTATACTATACTTTATTGTAACCCTATTCTTAGTAAACTGGCAGTCCGTACCACCTACTATTTGCCAAATATACAAACACACACATATAACTCTTCCAAAAGGAACTAAATACACAATTGTTTAAAATAAATAATTTTTAAAAATCATACCTTCATGCAATCTGTTTTAGTTGCACCCTTAATCAGGATTTTTTTAATTGCATAATATTGACCATCTAATTTATTCCTGACCTAAAAAGTAGAAGACAAGACAAAGCAAACTGTGTCATTAAATTTTCATTAAATAAAGGAGTTCTTTTAATCTGAGTTTAGATAATCCAAAGTAGCCAAAAAGATAAAATTAAGCTAATGACGTGTCTCTTTACTATGTTCAGAGAAGCCAGCCCTAGTCAGCCAGACTATAAGCTTTTCAAACCATATTGACAGTCCAACCCCTATTAATAGAAGCCCCAGGGCTGAATAACAGGGATGTTAGCGAAAGGGCTATGTAAGGCTCAAAACATAGTAGTACAACGTTTTTTAGTTAACATATTTTTAATAAAAATTAACTACAGAACAAAAATTCAAAGTTTCCAGAATCCACCTAAAATATCAACGTGGTTAGGAAAAAATTTGAATCTGCCCACTTCCCTGTAAATGACAAATCTAATGAAAAGTTAAGTATACATGATTTCCAGGAATTTTTCTTTGGGCACTTCAGATAAAAATAATGAAAACAATCTCTCAAAGTACACTTATTTACAAAGCAGAAGGTCAAAACAAGTATGTAGGAACAACCTTGTATACTCTTCCATATCCACCTTTTCCTAAGATGGCAAGCTCTTCAAATTCATTTAAGTAACGTGAAGTCTGTGCTTCAAAGGCTATTTCCTTTGATCTAAAAGGTTAAATAAAAACAATTAATTGACATTAAAACATGAGAGAATCACAACGTTCTACGATAGTTCACGCTCACTGTATCACTAACCTGACAAAACTCCTTTACCACTAAACTGGGACAATGTGAAAAGGATGAGCTAAAATGAAATGTTTCGTCTGTAAGAAGAAAACACTGGCTAAGCAAATCGACAGTGTAATAAAAATAGCAAGGAAGTCATTAAGCTAATTTCCAGTGTTCTACCAGTAATTAGCTGAATTTGGTAATAAATTTACTTAAATTTCTGTTCCTTTTGGTTAGAGATGGGCTCTCACTATGTTGCCCAGGCTGGTCCCAAACTCCTGGCCTCAAGCAGTCCTCCCACCTCGGCCTCCCAAATGCTAGAACCACAGGTGTAAGCCACTCCACCAGGCTGTGATTTCTTTTGAATAGTTTAGTCTTTGCATAATCAAAAAAGTACAACACATACCTGATTTTCGGGATATGGGAAATATCCTCACAAGAATCCTAAAACCAAAAACATATTTTGAAAAAGTATTTTGAAAACTTTCATGGAATAAAGAATCTATCAAAATTCAGTGTCACGTGAACAGCCCCAAATACACAAACAATACTTAAGAAACAAACCACTGGCTTTTTCAATACTACTTAAGAGTTTACAACTGAAAATATTTCAAAGTTGAGATTTTACCAAGGAGTTCCATGAGCAAACAATGTTGACATCACCTTCAACATACATGCAGAAACTGCCCCATCTTCTCTTGCCTGTACAGACAGGTATAATGCACCTGTCTCCCTGCTCCAGCCTGTGTCCCTCAGTCCACTCCCAACACAGTAGCTGGAATGACCCCATGAAAATCCAAGTCAGATTATGTCACTCCTCTGCTCAAAATCCTGCAAAATCTGCTTCCCATCTTACTCTGAGTAAAAACCAAAGACAATAAAATGGCTTCAAGATCCTGCTCCAAATGTCCTCTCTTCCCACTCCCCCAGCCCCTTTTGCTTACTCCACTCCAGCCACATAGCTGCCTTGTAGCTCCCCAAACATGCCAGCACATGGCCACCTCAGGGCCCTTGCCATTACAGTTGACCCTTGAACAACATGGATTTGAATTTCAAGAGTCCACTTACACACAGATTTTTTTTTCAATAAAAGTTACACTAAGTGTGCCTGCCTCCCCTTCCACCTCCTCCACTTCTGCCATCCCAACCTGCTCTTCCTCCTCCTCCTCCTCAGCCTACTCAATGTAAAGACTGGGAGGATGAAGACCTTTATGATGATTCATTTCCACTTAGTAAATATATTTTCTTTTGTTTTCTCTAGTTTACTTTAAGAAACAGTATATAACACATAAAATATGTGTTAATCGACTATTTATGTTGCTGGTAAGGCTTCTGGTCAACAGTAGGCTATTAACAGTTAAGTTTTTGGGGAGTCAAAGTTATATGTTTTTGGGGAGTTTTTGAGGAGTCAAAGTTATATGCAGATTTTTGACTGTGTGGGGGTCAGTGCCCCTAAGCCAATGTTGCTCCCAGGTCAGCTGTACTGTTCCTCCATCTAGAATGCTTTTCTTACAGATGTCACCATTGTCTCTGTGAGGCCCACCCTGGCTACCCTGTACAACATTCACATAGCCCCTCCCAACATGGTCTCAGTCCCCTCACTGCTTTACATTTTCCCTTTATGTCATCACCATCTAGCACCCCCTATATTATTTTTGTTGTTGTTTATTGTCCCCTCATCAGACCATAAGCTCCACAAGGGCAGAAATTTTTGTCGATTTTGTTAACTGCTTTAACCTAGGCACCTACAAAAGAGCCAAACACATACTAATCAGTCAATAAACATTGTTGGGATAAAACAAAGATTTTATTTTTAAAAACATGTTATATAATTAGGATTCCATAATGCTTTAAAATACAGCTGTCTTGAAATCAAAATCTATTTTTGTCATACAGAAAGCACATTTTTTAGGGCTTACCTGACGAACTCTCTCCTTAGCAGACCTCATTAAATGAGTAATAGCTCTGTTGTGATGTAGTCTCAATGAGCTAAATTCATCACTACAAGTGAAGGAAGACAGAAGCCCCATTTTGATAAAAGTCTGGCAAAGTACTATAAAAACAAAATGGAAACTATTATTAGAAAGGCCATCAGTAAAATGGCAATTTTAAAGAGTACACAGCAAATAAAAAGTAATAATTACAACACAAAAAAAATTCTATAAGATAAAAGTTATGTTTATAACACACAGTAAAGCTAGAGCTTGATTCTCAAAGGCAAGGAGCAACTGGCATATTCACATCTATAATTGCTTATCTTATACCACACAGTCATTTGTTTGCCACGCCTAGTCAGTAAAGTACTAAGCTCTGTTTAAAAAAGGGCTTGAGGAGGAGGAGGGGAGGGATAAAAACCTACCTATCAGGTACAATGAACACTATGTGGATGAATGGGCACACTAACAGCTCCAACTTAAGTATTATAAAATGTATCCATGTAACAAAAACATTTGTACCCCCTTAATATTTTGAAATTTTTTTAAAAGGGCAAAAAAATTGTAAACATAGTCTTCTGATATTCCACACATTATACTTTGCAAACAGTAAGATAAGAATACAGACAGGAGTAGAAACATATGATTAGAATCAACAATAAATGTTTTAACTGCTCTTTTCTATCATGAGATATCTTTAACCAACTTACAAACAGCATATACTAGATGTGCGTATAGCTCAAACACCAGGCTCCTCAGAAAAAGAAGCTTCTACAGAGGTGCCTTGGCTTTTACTCATTCCAAGAAACAGGGATACCATAAAGGACATTCTTTCTGCATTGAAAACTCTCCATTTAGATTATCAACTAACTAAATAAATCATAAAAATATTTATTTACACATACTTTGTTTTAAAAGCCAGCCATCTAAAATGTATACAAGGAATTTTTAATTATCCTAAAATCAGTAAGAGTCACATATTTGTTTTAATTATGCACAATATTACTGTATTAAAATTATTATAATCTACTTTTCTCTACTATGAGCCTAATACAATAATCCCCAGGTACCAATGCTTTGGAACCTAAGGAACACCCCCTTTGTACAACCCACCCACCTCCCCCATCATATATACTACTACTTAGAATGTGGAGTATAATATTTGCTTTATTCAAGAAAATTAAGTGTACACCACACAAATATTTTTACCACTTTTTATGCCCCACCAAGTTTATCAAAATGATACCATATCTTTAAAAACGCATTACGTTTGTTTTTGTTTTTTTATTAGAGACAGGGTCTTGCTCTGTCACCCGAGCTGGAGTATAGTGGCATGATCATAGCTCACTGCAGCCTCAAACTCCTGGGCTCAAGTGATCCTCCTGCCTCAGCCTACCAAAGTGCTGGGATTACAGACGTGAGAGCCACCATGTAAAAACAAATTTGGTTTTAAGACCACATAAAGCTATCTAGAAGTTCAAGGATTTCTAACACCAAACAAGATTTAGAAAGACATTGTTGGGAGAAAAGACTCTCAGAATCTGTAGCTGGAGGTATTACAGAGGCCACTTGGACTCAGTCAATAAGCAAACCAGAAATATTATAAGCTATAATTCTGCTCACTTTTGTGTTCACATTGCTCATTAAGTATCTTAAGGCAGGAATACAAATAAACATTTTTGGCCAAGCTCAGTGGCTCCCACCAATTATCCTAGAACTTTGGGAGGTCAAGGCAAGAGGATCATTTGAGGTTAGGAGCTCAAGACCGGCCTAAGCAACATAGCGAAACCCCATCTCTACAAAGAATAGAAAAATTAGCCCAGCATGGTGGCACACACCTGGAGTCCCAGCTATAGGCAGAAGGATCATTTGAGCCCAGGAGTTTGAGGTTGCAGTGAGCTGTGATCATGCCACTACCCTCATACCTGGGCAACAAAGCAAGACCTTGTCTACAAAAAAATAAATAAATAAACACTTTCATTTTCAACAACATAAAATGCAGCTGGTTCCAGCCCTCTGGCCAAGAACTGGGTCAGAATGAGCCATGTGATTTTCCTTTTTTAATCTTTTATTTTTTAAATTACACACAATTTTTGGGTCCCCAGTGATTATACTCATAAGAAAATACCCAAAGGAAAATGTAAAACGAACTTAAGGAATGTAAATTATTCATTCTTATTTCACATCCAATTTTTATTTTTTAACTTTTTTACTTTTTTCTCAGACAAGGTCTCACTTTGTTGCCCAGGCTGGAGCACAGAGGCCCAACCATAGCTCACTGCAGCCTATATTTTTGGGCTCAGGGATCCTCCTGCCTCAGCCTCCCGAGTAGCTGGGACTACAGGCAGCTGCCACTGTGCCTGGCTAATTTTTTTTTTAATTTTTTAGAGACGAGGTTTTGCTATGTTACTTAGGCTGGTCTTGAACTCCTGAGCTCAAGTGATCCTCCTGCCTCACCCTCCTGAGTAGCTGGGATTACAGGCATGAACTTCCACACCAGGCTCACACCCTATTTTTGTATACCAGCTGCTTCTCAGACCCATAGCATTCCAGAATCTTATTACAAGTTTTATTTAGCAAGATTAATTTATTATTACTTACACTTAAACACCTGTCTTGAACGAACTGGGTTTGGTTCATGCACATGGCTCAAGTGCTCCAGCAAAGAAACAAGCAATAGTTGGTTTGCAACTGCAAAAGGGAAAGTTGGCTGTTGTAGGGGTTCTTTTAACACCTGGAGTTCTGCTGGAACATCAGATTCTAAAAATTAAAAAACAAAAATAATTTCAATTAATGGTAAACCTGTCTCATAACAACAAAGCAGTATATTCTAAGTAATGAAATACAAACTATTTAAACGTTTAAGGAAATAAAAAACAAAAAAGTAGTTGAAATGGGTTAATCAGGAAAGGCTTTCTGGAAGTGAGTTTTGAGTTGAATTCTAGAAGCTAGAGGACCAGCAGAAAGATGCCACGAGGCAGAGTAGAAACAGTTTTGGTAGCAATGATGTATGCAATGGTAGAAATAAAGAAAGAAAGAAATATGCAAGCAAACAGGCAAGCAAGTGGGAATAGTATGGCTTCCTGTTTCCTTTGAAGAAATAGTCAAGACGCAGACATAAAGAAAGAAGTTTGGCAGAGAAGAGGGAAAAGAAAGAAGGATGGAGAAACTTCACTGGATGAGCATATGATACATGTGTACCCAGTGTTTTATATGCACAACCTCCTTTAATCTTCTTGAAACAATATAAGGTATTACCACTTCCATTGTACAGATGAAAACACTGATCTCAGAGAGGTTAAGGAACTAGTCAATCAGGGAGATCAGACTGACTCCTAAGCCCATCCTCTTTCCACTATGCAGGAACCAAGCAGAGAGTTAAATACAAAGGTCATAAACTCTCACCGTTTATTTAAGACATTATTAGCCAGGCACGGTGGCTCACGCCTGTAATCCTAGCACTCTGGGAGGCCAAGGTGGGAGGATCACTCAAAGTCAGGAGTTCGAAACCAGCCTGAGCAAGAGAGAGACCCCGTCTCTACTAAAAATAGAAAGAAATTAGTTGGCCAACTAAAAATATATAGAAAAAATTAGCCAGGCATGGTGGCACGTGCCAGTAGTCCCAGCCACTCAGGAGGCTGAGGCAGAAGGATTGCTTGAGCCCAGGAGTTTGAGGTTCCTGTGAGCTAGGCTGACACCATGGCACTCTAGCCCGGGCAACAGAGTGAAACTCTGTCTCATATATAAAAAAAAAAAAAAGACATTATTGAACAGGTTAAAAAAACACACACACACAATGAATGAAAAATGTTTGAGGAAATCATTCTGGAAACATGTCATAGGTAACCTGGAAAGAGGCATGAGATCAACAAGAAGAGGTTAGGATGCACTTAGTAATGAAGCTAAGTCACAGAAAGGTGAAGGAAAGAATATATACCTGAGATACATTAAGAAAGAAATGGGCTGGTCAGGATTTAAAACACTAGGAATCAGAGGGTGGAGGTGTTCATGAGTATGCAGATCAGTAAGACAAGACACATTAACTCTCAAGAGCTGTTGACCCATTCAATTAGAAACATTCTGCAGATACAGGAACTGTATATCCTACACCTCCTATTTAATACAATCAGCCCCATTTCAAATATTCTAATCCATTCTTCTCTATCAACTACTAAAGTCCAGAGAGAGCCAAAGTTTAAATCCAGGCTTCATCCATCAATTTCCTCTCTAACCTACAGGTGGCCAAGAAAAAAAAAAGACAAATAAGCTATTCATTTTAAATAAATAACTTAATTGTTTGAATATGGGAAAGAAAAAGAATGAAATGTGGCCATGTAAAAACTTCTCTATGTAAAAACATCTTAAAAGTTAAAATATGAGTCACAAATTCAGATATAGTACATATATCTGTATTATACATAACAAGAAAAAGAAAAGGAAATAAAATCTGGAGCTCTTACAAGCCAGTAAGAAAATGAAACACAATTAAAATTCAAATAGGTTTAACATAACTAGTAATTAACGACATTCATATTAAAATAACTTAAGCACCAGAGTTTGTCCATCAGATTTAAAGCCTAGAATACCTAGTACTGTCAAGAGTTTGGAAAAGCAGACATTTTCAAACACAAGGGGTACAAAAGTGTTTGCAAACTTTGGCAATACATTGTAGAAATTATAATGTGCAAACCTTTGACCCAGCAATTCCACTTTTGGAAATACATACCAAGGAAATAATTAAAGTACAACACGTAAGTATGTACAAAATGCTCAGCATAACACTGTTTAGAATATTGAAAAATTGTCAAATAAGTTATATACAGAAAATAGAATACTATGTAGCTGTTCGAAATGATAGTGTATAGAAAGATAATCCTAACGTCTACTATCAAGTAAAAGAAGCAAGCTAAAAAACAGTAATACTGGGCCAGGTGCAGTAGCTGACACCTATAATCTTAGCACTCTGGGAGGCTGAGGCAAGAGGATCAACCAGCCTGGGCAACAGTGAGACCTCATCTCTATAAAAAAATTTAAAAAATTAGCCAGACACCATAGCACATGCCTGTAATCCCAGCTACTCCGGAAGAGGAGGCAGGAGGACAGCTTGAACTCAGGAGTGAAGTTGCAGTCGGCTATGATGATGTCACTGCACTCTAACCAGGGCAACAGAGACTGACTCTGTCTCAAAAAACAAAACATCAAAAAAACCCAGTAATACTAACAAAGGTGAGGTGAAATTGTTTCATATGTGGGTATATAAATCAACAACCTGTCTGGTCATCATTTAACAATCTATCAAAAATCTTTACAAAAGAAAAAAAATGTATTTCTCTGACCCCACAATCCTACTTCTATGGATTTATTCTAAAAAAATGCTGGGATATTGACAAAGATTTATAAGATTTATGTATATAGATGTCCAACCCATTATAACTTCTAATGATAAAGAGACTCAAACCTAATTTTCAACCATAAAGCGAAGACTAAATAAAGGGTAGTACAGAATATTATACAGTCTTAAAATAATGTTTTTAAGACTAATTTATTACAAATGAGATGCTAATATAGTCACTTAAAAAGCAGAATATAAAATGGTCATTTTATCATACTACCATGATCACAATTTTAAAATATATTTTATAGCTACGTAAATATACAAACTTTTTAAAAACTGGAAAAAAGTAAACCTCTGCCCTCTCTATTCTCAATCCTATGTCTACAGAATTTGTAAAAGAAATGGAATTACATTATATATGCTGTTTTATAGTCTGCCTATTCGATCCTCAGTACCAAGGACAGTGCCTGGAATACAGCAGTTCTCAATAAATATTAGCAAATGAATACATCAAATTGTTAACAGTGAGTTCTCTTCTAGTATGTATTTGTGACTCCCCTCCACTTTTTACTGTTACATCTTTGTGAATGATATCTGTATATTTTTATTGTACTTGAACAAAATCAAATCTTTAATCCATTCATGATACCTTTCTTTGACAAATAGTTCTAAACACAAAATCATCAAATAAATTGACTCCAGTTACACCAAAATGTAAACTATAAACTCTGGGTGATGAGATTAAATTTTTCTTTATCACAGCCAGATGTGGTGGCAAGCACCTACAGTCCCAGCTACTTGAGAGGATCCCTTGAGCCCAGGAGTTCCAGGCTGCAGTGAGCTATGATTGGGTCACTGTTTGCCTGGGTAACACAATGAGATCCACTTTCAGAAACAAAATCTTCATGCTTTTCTAGATTCTCAACATATTTTGTAACATGAAATTTTAAATATAAATACTGAAGTGTTTACAGTGGTGAGACTATGGTTAGGAGGATTTTCTGCTTCTTTATACTTACAGTTTCCTGTTTCTACAATGGGAAAATTCTACTTTTTAATAAGAAAAAAACAAAACAGAATGGTAGGTCAGTGGAGTCAAATGAATCTTTAGTAAATCAAGAAAATGACAACTTTAAAAAGACCAATGGACAGATTACTCAAATACAGTAAAATGTAAAGAAAATGAAGGCTAAAGTTGAAAGCTTCCCATTACACAGAACTAGTCAAGAGTAGAAGAGTGAAAGGAAAGTAGTGAAAAGGAAAGAGGAGGTCAAGTTCTCTTACAAAATAGTAAGAAAGTAGATACAGATCCTACCTGAATTAGAGTTCTAGACTTCTACCAAATAGGATGGAACAGACAGACAGGAAAGGGATAACCTAATTTAATCTCTTCAGAAAAGTATAATCCAAATGGCCCATTATTAAGTGAAAGAAGAGCCTAGGGAATTAATTGGAGGTAAAATTTTGAAAAACTGTTGTGAGATGAAAGAAGAAAACTAATGAGTCTGACAATGGGCCCTCCTTCGAAGGCATGCTGTTCCACAGAAAGTATGCAGTAACTTTGCTCAAAGGCTGATGGTGACACTAGGAGAATCCCTACACAGGGCTGATGGTGACACTAGGAGAATCCCTACACAGCTAGGCAAATTCCTACATAGGTGTTAAAGTTACATGTAGGTTTTCAATTTTCTGACTCTACCATGAACTAGCAGAATGACCTCAGGTCACACAGAGTGACCATCTGCAAGAAATTATTTAACTATTCTGTTTTTACATCTATTAAAAATAAAATTACATTTTTCACAGACCTTACTTTTCATGTAAAAAGATAAACTGTGTCTGGACATTCTGGGCCTCTTTGGAAGAAAAGGTGGTACGTAAGCACAACATGTTAAAAGCATTATCTAAGATCACTCCCTGCAAGAATAATCTTTAGTTTGCAGAAACCCTTATCAAAATGTCACAGAAAGGACAAACTTGCATGTTTACAGCTGGGACTTTTCCTATGACATAACACTTTCCATACTATTGAGCTGCTATAATATGCCACCTTACATGTAGAAAATAACCATTTGTCCGTTAAAAAACAGTTATCATACAATATTCCTCTGCAATAGCCTATCTGAATTACCACCACGCTCTGCTTTTGTTTCCCATTATGGTCAAAAATTATAGGTAGTGTTTAAGGATGGATATGGAAGTACTTTTCCATTTATTTATTCCATTTGAATAAATCAAAACCTTTTCAACTTGGTTTCTACCTTTAAATCCACTGCAACACATTAATATTTGTTTCATGCTTCAACTTCAATGTGTATTCTCTGTAATCGTTCTATTGGAACTACCACACACTTAAAACCTCCCTCAATCAACGTGCGCATTCTTGATAGCACAATTCAACTTTTAAGATTGCCAAAACAACTAGTAGTAACTACAGACTATTTCACCTTCATTAAAATATTGGACTCTTTGACCTGGTTAGAGTCAATGTTTAAGGACCTCACACTTTATGCCGAATGTCTTGACTTAGCTACGTAATATCTCCTAAAAAACCTTAAGAAAATTTGAGCATTATTTTTTCTTTAAGCTGAAGAGGATGATTTATTTTCACATAGCCTCCCTATGAAAATGCTTTAGATATCCTACCAGTAAAGCAAAAGAACAGCTACAAATTCCAAGCTCTTAACTCACACTGCTCAGCACATATTCTGCAAAGTCTCATTCTGGTAGTGTACAAAGCTCATTCTCAACGACTGACAAAAATCACAAGGCTCGGGAGCTGGAAAGTGGCCTCAAGGAAGTTCTTGGTCGTCCGAAAGCCTCAGTCCGCAGAGAGCAAGCCAAGGAACAGCAATGTAAACAAATGAGCAGGTCGCAAACGCTAGTTTCAGTAACTATTTACCTGACCCTGAAGACCCGCCCGCCGCCCCCAGCATTGCACCGCTGGCACCCAGTTCAAGCCCGGAGTCAGAAGAATTTGCCCAGGTGTGAGGCAAAGCCCAGACCGCCCAGAAACGCAGGTGGACAGGGGACAGCGAAGCCGCGCCGCAGCATTCTGGGCCCTCACCATCATACTTGAGGTCAGGGCCCTCGGCGGGGAAGTCGATGGCGGGTGGTGCAGCCAAAGCCCCCGCCCCGTCGCCCTCTGCTTCGCGCTCTCGAGCCCCGGAGCTGCCTCCGAGCATCGCCGGCAGCGCGCGGGCCGCAGCCCAGCCCGCCGGCCCGCCCAGCGCCACCACACTCAGCGTCCGCAGGGATCGCCTCTCAATCAGGAAGTAACCCTTGGAGAGGCGGAAGACCCATCCGGGCCACGCGCGCAACGCCGTAGAGGGCGTGGTCTGCCGCCGGCCCCGCCCCTTGCCGTTCCAAGAAGGAAGGGTGGGCCCGTCCGGCTCGAGCGCACCACGGCGCATGCTCCCAGATGATGGGCTCGTTCTTGGGCGGCGGTCTGCCGGGCTTTAGGGGCGAGGGCGGCAGCGTTGAGTGGGGGTCGCTGCTGCTCGCGGGTGGACCCCGGCCACTCCTCAGGGCTGTCCTGAGTATCTGCAGACAAGTCATAAAGCTCACATCTCACGCGAAGACTTGGGTATCAGAGTAAGAATCAGGTGTCTGCAAATGTTTGCCTTTTGTGTATACAACGGTGAATTTTTGTCGTTTATTTTCCAAAAAAAAAAAAAAAATCTGCAAGGCCTGCGTCAATGAGACCTACACCTATTTTGGTCAAGCGTTAAACCACAAACGGTAAATGCCAACTAGATTCCAAAGTGCAAAGTGAATCGAAATTCTGCTGACTTTGAGACCGAATTCACAATTGAAATGTTTTCAAACCTGAGAGCCTTTTCCAGGAAACCCTCTGGCCTCACTGTATTGACTATGGTTTGACATCTTCAGGTTCAAAAATCCACCCTCTTTGCCCTCTGGAGGTGTCCCCCGATGACTTGATCGCCAACACAATGCTGTGTGAAAATTATCGTTAGGAGATCACGGATTAGATGCCACTGGAATAAAAACCTTTCAGATTTTGGACGTGAACCACATTGCAATGTGCAAAAGTGGCTTTTTTTAAGAGTTTTATTTGAACATATTTTCCATACAGAGTCATACTGGATGCATTCAGCCTGGCAGAGGCAATTAAGGATGTAGTTCTCCAGATGACTTGCAAAGATTAGGAGTGTCCCAATCTTGCCTTGCTGATGTTCTGGTAGAGCACAGCCTTTCTGGGGAGTGATTTATCTGTATGCATTCACAGCTTTAAAAATGTGAATACTGGCCGGGCGCGGTGGCTCACGCCTGTAATCCTAGCACTTTGGGAGGCCGAGGCGGGCGGATTGCTCAAGGTCAGGAGTTCGAAACCAGCCTGAGCGAGACCCCGTCTCTACCAAAAATAGAAATAAATTAATTGACCAACTAAAAATATATATACAAAAAATTAGCCGGGCATGGTGGCGCATGCCTGTAGTCCCAGCTACTCGGGAGGCTGAGGCAGTAGGATCGCTGAGCCCCGGAGATTGAGGTTGCTGTGAGCCAGGCTGATGCCACGGCACTCACTCTAGCCTGGGCAACAAAGTGAGACTCTGTCTCAAAAAAAAAAAAAAAATGTGAATACTTCATTTTTTTTTTCTCAACAATTCCACATTCAAGAATTTATCCTAGGGAAAAAGGTAAGAATGAGTGAAAATGTATAGTTACAAAAACTATCGATTGCAACACTGATTATCCATTAAAACAAGAAGACAATAGAATTAACTAAATCAATTAGGAACATCCATACAATGGCACACGTTACAGGCATTAAAAATGTCTGATACGTAATATCTGCTTCTCACCATCACTGGAAATGCCCGGTATTACCAGGGGTTTGGAAAAAATTAGACAACTTATTCCGATGCGTACATGATAAATAGAAGCAACCTTTCTGGAAGACCACGTGCAACTTATAGTAAAAGTTTTGAAATAGGCGTTTCCTTTGACCTACATATAAGAGCATATCCAGCTGGGTGCGGTGGCTGACACCTGTAATCCTAGCACTTGGGGAGGCCAAGGCAGGAGGATCACTTGAGGTCAGCACTTCAAGACCAGCCTGAGCAAGAGCAAGACCTCCATCTCTACAAAAATAGAACAATTAGGCAGGTGTGGGCCTGCACACAGCTACTCATGGGGCTGAGGCAGGAGGATCGCTTTAGCCCAGGAGTTTGAAGTTGCGGTGGCACCACTGTGCTCTAGCAGGGATAACAGAGCCGGACCCTGTCTCAAAAAAAAAAAAAAAAAAAGTCTATCCAAAGGAAGTAATAAGAGTGGCAAAAAAAGATGAATCTATAAGAATGTTCATTTTTCATTTTCATGAAACAAGTTCAGAAAGTAAAGAATGTTCATTAAAGTACAGTTTATAATATGAAAGCAATAAAATAAATCTAAATTCCAAATAGAAGAGCAGTGAGAGTGCATCCATACAATGAAGCCTTTTGCAGCCATTACAAAAATTGAAAAAGCGGCACATTTCTCTCTGGGCTTCCATAATATCACGCTCTTCTGGTTTTTCTCTATTTTACTGGTCTTCCATTTCAGTATCCCTTACTGAATCATTCTCCAAATGTATAAATGCTGTAGGGCTCTTGTCATCACTCTCTAAATTCAGGAGATAGCCATGTGCATTGCTATCACTTTAAATGCCATCTATAAACTGACAACCTCCAAATGTATATCTATAGCACAGACTTGTTCTCTTGGATGACTCAAAAGCATCTCAAATATGTCTAAAAGAAAGAACTTCTGGTCTTCCTCCTAAAACTTGTTTGTCATCATCCCTCTTCATCCATGTAAATGGCACACAATCAACCCATCTGTCCAAGCCTAAAACCTGGGAGTCAACCTTTATTCCATATACAGAATATATCTAGGCTGTCTACAAATTAATTTTTTTTAAAAAAAGAAACATAGGCTGGTCTGAAGATGGTGAGTTATCTCAATTGATGGTTCGCAGTTAGTTATAGATCAAATTCTTTGTTCTACTCTTTCCCCCTTCTCACTACTGCAGTTGACTAGTCTTTAAAAAACAAAAAAAAAGGAAACAACACAGCATATAAAAGTGCAATATTAAACATACTGTTAACCTAAGAGGAAACCCAAATGACCAATAAACTTAGGAAAAGCTGTACAAATTTTACTACTTACAAGTAAATGCAAGTGAAACAATGAAATATTTCAAAATATCATATTTGCAAAATTGAAGCTTCTCATGCCAAATGTTGGCACGGATATGAAAAAAAGAGGAACTACCGCACCTTGCTAAAGAGTAATTTAGCTACATTGAATAAAGTCAAATGGTTGGCAGATTCTCTCCTTGACCTAATTCTAGTCAGGTTGCTCTGAATTCTTTTCTCAACTAGGCCCTGATTTTTTAGTTTCCATGTTCATTTCTGCATCATCCAATTTTATCAAGAATCCTGGTATGTCACTTTAGCCAGAATCCCCCATTCCCAATATCTGATTACCTTCTATAACTGTTTGGAATCCTCCTTCCCTAACATCCCCCAGGTGATGGTCCAATCCCCCTGGCCTGCCTTTGGCAAGAATCCTGTTAGGTCAGATTAGCCAGAAATCTCCCTTACCCCTGATGTTTCTCATAGTAATTTTCCATACACTGACATCCCCCCTGCCAAACACACGTACACACACTTCTCCTTGGCTATAAATTCCCACTTTTCCTTGCATTCAGAATTCAATCTGACCTTCTCTCCTACTACAGAACACCAGTAATCTCCCTTGAATAAAGTCAGCCCTACCATCTTTAACAAGTGTCATGAATACTTTTTTTCTTTAACATGTACATACTCAAGATCCAGTAATTAACTCATAGGTTCCCTTTGGACACCCTCTATGTGCCCAAGGATATGTGCATAAGGATGTTTATTGCAAAATTATTTATAATAAATTTGGAAATGCCCTAATATCCATCAGTACAGAAATAAATAAACATATATGCAAGCAAATATTGTAGAACAGTTATGATAAATCAACTAGTCCACATATATATTTAGGGATATTGAAATCAACAGGTTAAAAACCCTAAATTACAGAAGGCAATAATAATAATTATTGCTAGTGTTTACTGAGCACCGTGTCAGCCTGAGTTCTCCACTCTGTTCAAAATGTTTTTATAAGTATTATCTTATTCAATCCTCATAGCAAATTTACTAGCTAGATATTATAATTATTTTATTTTATAGAGAAGCAAAGATTTTACATCAAGGCAAAGAAAGCTTTTTAAATACCTTCCCCAAGGTCACATGACAATAGTGCAGCCAGGATTTTTTTCCCACGTATTACGTTTCATTGTTATCTATATTTTCTATAATGGCTTTATTGAGATATCATATGTGTACCATTTATGCATCATTTATGTACCATAAAATTCACTCTTTTATAGTGTAGACTTCAGTGGTTCTTAGCATATTCAGAGACTTGTGCAACTATCACCACTACCTAATTTTAGCCACTTTTATCACCTCGAAAAGATATCCCTGGCAGACAGAATTTAAATCCAGGCGCTTTGGCTCTAAATTCAGCCTCAAAAAGTACAGAATGATGCCATGTGTGTAAAAAATTGTTATGTATACTATTTATGGACGAATACATTTGTAGAAAAATGTTAAAATACAGATAGGAATGATACCTGACTTTAGGAGAACGATCACCTCTTGAGAGGGAGAACAGAGAGCGAGATCGGAAAGCCTTACAATTGGAATGTAGGCACATCTGTAAATGTTATTTCTTAAGAAAACCAATTCTCAAACAAACATAGCTTAACATCAGTGGTTGTTAAATTTGGGTGTGGAAACATTGGCATTTCTTTATTTCTTTTAATTATTCTTTGTCCTTTTTTTTTTTAAAGACAGGGTCTGGCTTTGTTGCCTGGGCTGGAATGCAGTGGTGCGATTGTAGGTCACTGCTGACCTGAACTCCTGGGCATAAGCGATTCTGCCCTCAGCTTTCAGGCATAGCTGGGACTACAGGTGTGTGCCATCACACCCAGTTTGTGCCTTTTTATGTGTTTAATGTATTTCATTTTCTTTTCCTTTCTTTTTCAAGAAAGTGGGCATATCAGGGATTTCCTGAGAAAGGGAACCAATGGGAAGTGTATATGTCTAGAGAGATTTATTTTAAGGAATTGGCTCATAGGATCACAGAGGCTGGCAAGTCCAAAATCTACAGAGGGCGTGGCAGGCAGGCTGGAGACCCGTGGAAGAATCAGTGTTGTACTTTAAGTCAAAAGGCTGTCTTCAGGCAAAATTTCTTCTTGTTCAAGGGAGGTCAG